AGATTGGAAATTTGATATGTAGGTTTGGTTCTTTATTATTGTTGTTGTTGTTGTTATCAATTGATCTTTCCTTCTATGTTCCAGATCTCTCAGGCTGAGTTTGACCTGGTACAAAGTGTCCAACAAAATGCAGATTTGCGTTCAAAAATTGTTCAATCACCAGATAAACTGCAGGTACCTTACTCATGTTATCATTGAGTTTTCATATGATACTGGGTGCTTTTATCACAACGGCATACACATTGACTGATGAAGTTTTTCTTGAATTCAAGCTATATGTGCAGCAATGAACTATGAACGTATACTTTTTCAATAAACTATGATGCTTTTCTACAATATCATATGGGTAGTTTCACATAAATCTTTAACAAGTTACTACTGGGGTTCGGCCGACCATTATGAGTCCAGATGCTAAAGGCATTAGCTGTTGTGTCTGTCTTTTTTGAAGGAGTTAGAGGGTCAATGATCCACATATGCCAGATGGATCAATTCCTGTTGAAGCTTTCAGATGTCGTTAAAAGCCAAAAGGACACATAGGCAGCATTTGGTAGCTACCTCTTTATTTTCCAGCTGCTTTGGTCGGGAAATAGAGATAATTATGTAGTCGTGCAGAGGAGATTGTATGTTGAGTGATTGCTCTTAGTGCTGCCATGGAAATAAGATTTAGGGAAATCTATAAGTACTTTTTCATCTGTGTCTCTATGTTTTGGTGAAGCAGCTGAACATTGTGAAAACAAAAGTGGAATGAATAGATACTTAAGAGTCATAAGAATGAGTTGCACTGAGTCAATTGTTGTTGCATTTTATCCTCATCCGCGTTAATTGATTTGAAAATGAAGCTCAGTGTTTTGTTTTTCTTCATAACTCTGTTAAACACTTCACTTTTTCTAGTGCAGCTATTTCTTCTGATGTCCTTTTCTTATAGTCAGCTCTGACTACTGTGTTAGCCATATGTTTGTGTTTTCTCTTTCCTAACTCTTGGTAGTTAAGTTGTACATGGTTAAGTATTTTTCTCCTTGTATGCTAACATCATTTTCGATTGAAATCTTTGTTTATGCATGAAGTAGATGCAATGATCTGCTTGTGCAATAGATGTCCACATAAGGGCCTAATTTAATCATTCGAGTCATGTAGGTTTTCCCATTAATTTATCTTATTATATTGCTTGGAGAATTTAGTTAGTTGTAAGTAATTTTCTATATATATTTTTAATGCTGGTTGGATTTGACTGTTTGGGTGCTACATTTGTAATCTCTTATTATGATGTAAGGAATTCTTCCATATTCTTATTTATTTATTTTAAATTTATTATTATTTTTTTTGGCTAAAAGAGAGCTTTGGAAGAGAAAAAATCAGTTCGGGATGAGGCAAAGAATGCGGAAAGAGTAGCAATGCAGTCTTTTCAGGAGAAGACTGCAACCCTTGAGGTTTATACGAAGGTAATTTTGCATAAACTACTGTGCTAATGTATTTGTGGTATTCATGTAAACTAATATGTTGTACTAGTCAATGTTCATGGTGTTAGGATGTTCATAGTCTTTTTTTTTTTTTTTTTTTCTTTTAAGGATCCTCTTTTTATTATTTAATTTAATTTTTTAGCTGAAAACATGACTACACAAGACATGATCTTTTATTGAAAATGCTTATATTCACTCTGCTTGTGGAATTCACTTGAGGTTCTTGGCATCCCTTGAAATCTAAGATTTGTACATCAGTTACTGCCAAATTGCAGTAGCATGTGATCTGGGACCCTTTTATTAATTGAAAGCTAATTATTGATAAATCTAATGACATTTGAGTGTGTTATTGCTGACTTGTGGTTTCTGGGAGACAACTGGTCCTAGAGTGGAAATGAAGTCGGATAACATCTGAACAAAGGAGCAGAGTGCATACATCTATATCCTTAATCTTGTCTTTGCTGTTAAGTCATCATAGTGCAATCAGACCTTAGATTCCCTGTTAAGAGGATCTGCTCTTTTGTTTCTACTGGATGTTAATTAAATTTTTAATTTTATTGCATTTATTGACATTCTACAATATACATATAAGAAGTAAAGCAGAAGCGGTGATTAATTGTTGGTATCTATTTGTGGTTTTTTTCAGGTCTTGAAGAAAATGTCAAAGCACTTTGCTCAGATGCAAGCTATACTCGAACAGGTCTCAATAATTGCATTAAATTTTCCGTTGGTTCTTTCTCAAACATTGTCTGTTGGCTGCAATGAAATGTACTTATAGAAACTTATCTACATACTTAAAGTGTTTAGGTGTATTATGAATCTATTGTAACTCTTATATAGTGATAACCTGTCGTAGTTTTGCTATGGAAGTCCTCATTACCCAAATATCTTTAGTTATTATATCTGCACTGTTAATAGGTAAACTCCGCAAAATCGATTGAAAGGGACTATAAGGCATTGAAAACAAAGTTCAGTGATGATATAGTGTCGGATAAGTCGCTAGAAGCCAAACTGGTTGAACGGCAAAGCAAAGGCAGGTTCTTCTTTGAGCTATATTGAGTTATTGTCCTTCATTTATGTTATCATTTTGGAGTTAAACTTTCTCTTGCCCCACTTTTTTTTCTTCAGCGGAACAATTGGATGAACTAAAGAAGCAGTTTGAAAAAGAAAGGAATCTTAAATTTCAGGAGGCTACTAAAGAACTAGAAAATGTGAAAGTGGAGGTGGAATCCAGGAGGCGTGATCTGGAAGCAAGGCAAAGGAAGGTTGAAGCTGTGGTGGCAGAGGTAATTTCAGTACCTTTGAATCTTTATACTGAATCTTAGTCATTTTCTTCCGAGGGAGTTTGATATCTGAGTTTTTCTTTTTCTAATAGGTGGATGCCATAACTTCAAAAACCATGTCTGTGAAAGAATCTGGAGAAGCCAAACTGCAAGAGTTAGCAAATAAAGCTGAAGAAGTTGTAAAGCAGGTGTGTTTCTATTTATTTTGTTTAAACACTAAATAAAAGTGTCAGCTTAGTGACCCCAAGAGTTTGTTGTGGTGGCAAAAAATATTGGTTTCAACTAAGAGGCTGAGGTTCAAATCCTATTGACGCCATGTACTTGCATATTATATATCACAAGCTTTTTTGGCTACCTAAGTTGCAGTCTTGCCATAATTTATAGCTCGGTGAACATGTAGGGAGACTAAAGGGATTTTTAGGTATCAAAGAAAAGAAAAGAAAAGAAAGGTATCAATTTAGAAATTGAAATGTCATCTGCTTCACTTACCGCTAAAAGTGCTTGAGTTAATATTTCAAAGAATCTTTAAAGAAGTAATAATTTGCATGCTTCTGAGCCATTATTGATTTTATAAGATTTCAACATGCAACATCTATCTGGGACGCCCTTATATGAACTAGGTTCTATTGTTTGATGATTGTTTTTCTCCCTATTCTAATTCGGTGAAAAGGAGAGGAGAAGTAAACTTCATAAGATTTTTCCATGCTTGCTGTTGTGGTTGCTGTTTTCTATGTTTTTTGTTTGATTTCTGGGGCCTTACACAACTCTTCCATTGAAATTAGTTTAAATTTTTATGTTCGTGGGTGTTTGCAGTTTCAGCAATATACACACTCTCTTGGGGTACTGTTGGTGACTGAGGCTGAGGCAGGAGCAGGTACATTGGCTTTAGCATGATTATTAGCAGCTTTACTCTGGAAATTAAACATCTTGGTTGGCAAGCTTGAGTTCTTGTGTATAGTGTATATGGTTTGTTGATGCTTTGTCCAAAAGCCATTTTGTTAAATTTGATGGACATACAATATAGATGTCACCAAAGATTGACCTGTGCTTCTCAAACTTGGCTTGATTGAACTTGAATCAAGTTTAAGCCATCTTGTATTTTCAGCCAAATATGACTGATGAACAGTAATTCTTTATCAAGTTAGTTCCAAAATATCGTTGCCTAAACAGTCATTTTACTTGACAATTGTTATGTCATGTTCATATCGCTAGTGAAAATAGCCCTAGATTTCGTTTGTTTGAATTAAGTATATGAATTTTATGTACATGATGTTTGCATAAAGTTCAAAAGAAATCAATGTGGATAAATGATGTTTGTATAAAGTTCAAAAGAAATCAACACAGATAAATGATGTGTACGTTTAAATGTTCAAATATTTGATTGAACTTGAGGAGTTATGGTATCATGGTAACTAATTAATTTTAGCTTTCTCATGTAAGTGTAACATTTTACATTGTAAAGTAATTTGTCAATTAGTGTGCTATGGACTATGGTTAAATTCCATGACCAATATTTCATTCCTTTTGAATTTGTGCTACAAACGTACAGCTCATGGTGTGCAATTCAAATTCATGTTTCATTTCTTTCCTAACATTTTATTTTCACATTTACCACCAAATAAATTCCTCTGTCTTCTTTGTTATATTATATTCAGGATTTTTTCGTAATATCTAAATACAATGATAAACTGACACTCGACAAACAAAAAATTGTACAGTTATAAAACTATTATTTACTTTTTTTGAAAAAATTAAAATAAAATGATTCAAAAGGAATTAAAGAAACAATAAAATAAAATTATAAGAATTTGCGATCTTTATTTACTTCAATTAAACTCACACCTAGGGGTGTATACAAATCGAGCCAAGTCGAATACCATAGCGCTCGAGCTTGATTTGTGAAATAGGTACTGAGCTTGTGTCAGAAATTAGAGAGAAGAAATATATAAAGAGGGGTTTTGGAAAAAGTGCCCTCTGACTTTCAGCCACCCTTTTCTTATCAACTTATACCCGGAGAGCCCCTAATTGATCCCCATATTTAGCCTATATACATGGTAATATATCTATACAGCTAATATTAATAGAGAAGTCTTAAATTATATAAATTCCTAAATTGTATACGGTAACATCCCCCCACAAATTGATGCTGGTAAGTCAACCAGCAACAATTTGCCAACAAGAAATTGATGCCGTTGTCGAGTCATAGATTTGTTGAAGACATCAGCCACTTGGAGATCAGAAGAGATGTGAGGAAGAGATATCACTCGACTTTCCAAGGTGTCTCGAATAAATGACAATCAACCTCAATGTGCTTGGTGCATTCATGGAAAACGGGATTGGTGGCAATCTGAATAGCACTAGTGTTATCAGCATGAAAAGGGGTAGAAGTAGTCTGAGGAAACCCAAGCTCCTCAAGAAGACCGCGTAGCCATACAATTTCAGAACAAGCAGTAGACATGGCATGATACTCGACCTCAGTAGAGGATTTAGAAACACGATCTTGTTTCTTACACCTCCAAGAAATTAAGATATCACTTAAAAACATACACCAACCTGTAGTAGATCGACGTGTATCTGGACACCTAGCCCAATCAACATCACTATAGGCAACAAGTTGAAGAGATGAGCCGGTAGGAAAGAACAACCCACGAGTAGGTGAACCTCGAAGATAGCGGATGATGCATCGAACTCCAACAAGATGGAGATGCCGAGGAGAAGACATAAACTGACTGACCTGATGAACAGCATAGGAGATATCAGGTCTCGTAGTGGTCAAGTAGATAAGACTCCCAACCAAGCGCCGATAGAGAGTAGGATCATCTAGAAGGTCCCCTTCATCTTTCTTGTATTTGACATTTACCTCCATAGGAGTATCAACAGAAGAAGTGTCCTCCAAACCAACCAAAGTGATAAGATCTTGAATATATTTATGTTGGTTCACGAAAATACCATTGGCCCGATGATGAACTGCTAATCCTAAAAAGTACGTGAGTTGGGAAAGATCTTTCATATGGAAAGTTGCATGTAACAGCTACTGAAGCTTAGTAATCAAACTACAGTCAATGCCAGTAATGATAATATCATCCACATAAACTAAGAGAAGGACTATACTTGATGCAGACGTGTGGAAGAAGAGAGAAGAATCATACTGACTTTGTGTAAAACTGAAGGAAAGAAGTGTACTGCGAAACTTCTCAAACTAAGCCCGGGGCCCTTGCTTGAGCCCATACAGAGAACGCCTTAGCTTACAGACATCATGAGGAGAAGAAGTAGTCATACTAGAGGGAAGCTTCATGTAAATCTCTTCCTGGAGATCACCATGAAGAAAGACATTCTCCACATCCATCTAATGTAGTTGCCACGACTGTGAAGTGACAATAGCTAAGATGGTTCGAATCGTGGTCATTTTGACAACAAGAGCAAATGTCTCCTCATAATCAACCCCATATTCCTGTTTGTTACACAGAGCTATGAGGCGAGCTTTGTACCGGTCCAAAGAGTCATCAGAACGAAGTTTTACAAAGAAAACCCATTTACTCCCAATAGGTTTGACTGTAGGAGGACAAGGAACAATATCCCAAGTGTGATTCTTCTTAAGTGCTTGAAGTTCTGCTTGCATTGCATTTTGCCAACACACATGTTCCATGGTCTGTTTGTAGCAAGAGGGAATGGAAATAGTGGATAAAGCAGCGACAAGAGAGACATAAGGAAGAAAACATACCAATCAGGGGGTCAAGAAAGACGAGTAGACCGACGAAGAGTGGTGGAAGTAGGAGCAAGATCAGGCGTCGGGCTAAGATCGGAAGGGGGCACAGAGGAAGTGGAACCAGACTCATGTCGACTACGTCTTTCATACATAAAACCAGGTTTAAACCTTTCTACAATGGTTAGGGAATCAGAAAAACTAGGCAGAAGAGATAAAGATGCAGATGGCAGCTAAACATGAGATGGAAAGAAATATTGATTTTCAAAGAAAATCACATTCCTAGAAGCCCATATACGACGAGCATGAGGATCATAACAAACATAACCCTTTTGAGGGATAGCATAACCAAGAAAAAGACACTTAACAGACTGAACAGTAAGTTTATGATGTTCATGAGTAGGGAGATGCACAAAACATACACAACCAAATGTACGAAGATCATAATATAAAGGAGGATGACCAAACAACTTAAAGAAAGGAGAAACACGATTTAACGTAGGAGAGGGTAAGCGATTGATCAAATGAACAGCAGTAGAAAGTGCTTCACACTAAAAACGAGGAGGAATGGATGATTCAAGTAAAAGAGTTCTTACCACATCAAGAAGGTAACGATTTTTCCTCTCAACAACACCGTTTTGTTGTGGTGTTGAAGGATAAGAACGCTGAGAGAAGATCCCTTTGCTTTGAAGAAAGTTTTGAAACTCATTAGACATGTATTCGCCGCCAAAATCAGAGCGCAAAACCTTGATGCTGGCAGACAATTGAGTCTCAAGAAGTGTAAGTAAGCGCTTAAAGACTGAAAAAACTTCAGCCTTAGCTCGGAGGAAGTAAACCCAAGTAAAACGACTAAAGTCATCAATGAAAGTAACAAAGTACTTGCAATGCGCATGAGAAACAATAGGTGCAATCCCCCAAACATCACTATGAATAATACAAAACATTGTGAGGCACGAGATGCATGATGAGAAAAGGGTAGAACTTTACTTTTGCCAAGTTTGCATGATGTACAATAAAAAGAAAGATCAAGAGAAGAACATGCTTTATTTCCCAATAATCCAGAATTAAACAAAGTACGAAGTACATCAGAGTTTAGGTGGCCTAGACATCTATGCCACATCTTATTTCCAGAACCAACAACATTACATACAAATGAAAGTAAAGGAAAACTAGGAATGATAGTGGAAGGTGAAACATGAAGAGGAAAGAGTCGTCCCACTTTAGGCCCCTTCGCAATCATCTTCCCTGACACTTGATCCTACACATCACAACCAGAACGAGAGAAATAGACATTAAAATTATTATCAACCAATTAACCAACAGAAATAAGATTTGTGGAGAGGCCAGGAGACACAAAAATATCAATTAAGGAAGGGGAAAGATCACCAACAACACTGATAGACAGAGAACTGCCATCAACGATGTTAATTTTCAGATTTCATCATAATTTTTTACATTGGAAAGAGGAACAACAGTATTGGTCATATGGTTAGAGGTTCCAAAGTCAAAATACCATGGCTTAGAAGAAACTCTATGATTACCTGAGAACCCAAAAGCAGAAAAAGCAAAAATGATCATCTGTTGTACCATTTCAGGAGTAAGTGTGTTTGGGTTTGCCAAGGCTGTAGGAGGAGGAATGAGAACAACCGACGAGCCAGCATGCAATGCAGTAGAATTAGAGGCACTAGTGGAGGCATGATAAATGGTACATTGCTTCCTTTCAGGTCAAATGGGACAAGCAGAGATGATATCACCCTGTTTCTTGCAGTAGTTACAGAACTTTTTGGAACAATCTCGAGCAAAATGACCAAAAGCTTTACAACTAAAGCACTGGACAACATGCATATCTCTACCCTTATTCCTCTCCTGTGCTGCATAAGCCACAGAAACAGGTGCACTAACATTAGCCCGATGTTCCATGGCAGCCTGAGTTACAATACGCTGCTCCTCACGAAGAAGTTCACTCAAACAGGCATCCAGAGATGGTACAAGATAACGATTCATCAGATTAGACCGTGCAATTTCAAAGTCAAGTCGTAGCTTCATCAAGAATTGATCGCGCTTGCTGGTTACATGCACTGCTTGGACAACAGAGAAAGCTGTAGCGGGAACATTAGCATAAACAATATCGGAATAATCAGCCCAAAGAGTTTGAAAACCAGAAAAATATTCTTCAATTGAGAGACTTCCTTGTGTGAAATTAGCCATCTCATACTCCAATTGAAACCGCCTAGCGAAGTTGTCTTGATTGTAAACCGTGTTGAGATAATTCCACATAGCAGCAACAATTTTATAAGGCTTCAAATTGAGGACAAGATGAGGCTTAACCGAGCTAAGGATCCAAGTCATAACCTGAGCATCCTTAATTTCCCATTTAGACAAAGCCTCGACACCTTGAAGTGCGGGAGCATTCCCATCAATATGACCCCATAATTCATTTCCTTTAACAAATAATTTAAATTGAAACTTCCAAGTAGAATAATTTTTGCAGTAAACCTAATATGGAACGATTCCAACTTATCTGATGACATGATGCAACCAAGAGACAGAGAGAATATCCCACCAGAAAATTGTAACTTGCACCATGAAAAAAAATACACAAAGAAACACGCACCAAAAAATCTATTGCACTGAAAAGAAGCACAACCAAGGACGGCAATAGAGATCTCCGAAAGCCACAACTAACAAGAAATCAACACTAGAGGCCCCAAAAATAAGAGACCATACTAGAAAACACCACAGACGGCGTCGAAAACAAGAGCCCAGAACTAGAAAATGCAACCGATGGTGCTAACAGCAAGGATCGAACCAAAACACCCACTTTTGATGCCGACAGAAACCCAAGAACCAAAAAATAGTCACAAACAGTGATGAAATCAACACCTAAACACCCTCAAGAGATAAAAAAAAAAAAATTGCAAAACAAGCAAGTAATCAAACCCGCTCTTGATACCATTTCAGAAACTAGAGAAAAGAAATATATGAAGAGAGGTTTTGGAAAAAGTGCAACCACCTTTCTCTTATCAACGTAAAAGTCCTATACATGGAAAAATGGGTCAAATGCTATATCCGGAGAGCCCCTAACTGATCTCTATTATTTAGCCCATATACATGGTAATATATCTATACAACTAATATTAATAGAGAAGTCCTAAATTATATAAATTCCTAAATTGTATACGGTAACAGCTTGAGCTTGGGCTCAAGTTCGACGAGCCTTGGAAACGTGGGCTCAAGCTTGAGCTCGACTCTTTTTTGGGTTAAGCTTGAGCCTAGGCTCAATTGTGGAGTTTGAATTCGAGTTGCATATTGCATTAGCACTCTGCTACCAACACTAAAAGTGGCCTTCGAAGCCACCGTGGTGATGGAATAGCTAGTACATCATGAGCCATCCTGGATAAGATACGATACTTCAACGTATTCACTTTTCATCACTCAAGTGCATCAAATGTATTTGAATCCCCCTCATTACAAATGTAGCCTCCCTCTTCTAGGTAATTATCTAAATTAGATTTTTCTTGTGGAATAGTTTGAATTGTCTTCAAATGTTGGATAAATAATGCAAACCCAGATGTAGGAGGTGTCGCTTGTACATTCACCCGAGCAACCACGATGCTCTCAGCACTTTTATCATTGTTGGAAGATTGAGTCAGCCACATATTCTTGGTAAAGTTCGTACAAGGCATCCTTTAACCTTGACATAATTTGCCCCTAGTTTTGCTTCTTCATACATTTGGGGGAAACAAAAGTCAAGCATTGCCATTTTGCACCTAAGATCCATAACAGCAACAACACACTTAAGCAGATTATATTCCTCTCAATGTCAAACTTTTTTTTTATTTGCTTCACTATATCTCGAATGAATTCATTTCGGTGCATTGACTTTTTATCTAGCATAACGTTGACTCAAAATATTTCACTCAGAAACAAATTGGCAATCGGGTAATTACTCTTGTAGATGATATTAGTAATTGTATTCAACACTTCTAGTACCTCACAAACTTGTTCCACTTTCTCTTAGTCTTCTGGTTGCGGACAACAATTATAATGTGGGTCTTTCTCTCTGAATTTTAGGAAGACATTCTTGAACCCAAATGCAGTAAACAACATCTCATAAGTGGAATTTCATCTCGTTTTACAGTCCATAATGAGCTTCCGATTAGGCAAACGCAATAGTGATGGATACCACTCCCAAGCCAGGCAACCACAACAGAAATAACAAGCAAACAATCGAATTAAACCTAGAAAGCAACAAGAATCAGTAGCCAAAATCAAGAAATACTAGCACTTATATTGATATTCCAATAGCACAAAATACACAACAAAAAAAACTTAACAAAACTAGCCAAAACAGGAAATCAAATAAAGCATAAACAAGAACAAGAAATCAAAATGATGTTAGTCTTTAAGGGCCAACCCCTCCCAGGTAGTGTTGGACTTTCAGGGCTAGCAACCTCCCACTCTCCACTTTTCTCTTTTTCTACCCCTTCATATCCCACTGTCTCCCCTTTTATTCTATTCCTCATAACAGAATTCCTTTAATCACCCAGTCACGTAATGTCATATGTCCCTCCCTAAACCATCTTTAACACCTCACACACAAGAACCTTTCTAGCTACTGCACCAAAATCCCCTACTTCACACCCTTAAGTCTTTTACAATAGACCAACGTATTAGGAGTGGGTCTCATCAAAACCCCCCCGAGCAGTACCATCTTGTCCTCAAGGTGGGAAGATGGAAATGGTTTACCCTACACCATCCCGCTCCTTTACTCCTTCACCGCCCTCTTCTACTTTACCCAACTTTTCCTCATCTTTTGTCCATCGCTAGAAAAGGGTTGTTCACAGTTGAGGGAAGTTAGAATCGATCATTCAAAGCGTTGCCGAGCTTGTACTCCGATGACCGATAGCTGTTGTTGCATTGGATGATGCTTCTTCCCAGGATTGGCGCTTCGGTGATGAGTTTGTGGAGTACTTTGGGTGGTTGGAGAAAGGACGAAGTTTGGAGTCGTGCGATTTGTTTCTGATATAAGGGAAATGGACCCTCGACCCAAATTTTCCTGACCCGGTTCCTTGCTTAAGCTCCAAGTCTGCTGGTCCAATTCCCATTAGTCCCAACCCAATTTCAGTTTGTCTAAGCTCATGCCCAGTTATATTTGTTTTCCCATGTTTGCCTAGACCAAATTTTAAATCCTCCCAAGCCCCCAAGTTTTTTCCTCTATTCTTTGGGTCAATTCAATTAATTGGACTAATGAGTTGGGTTGGCCTAACCTCACTTCAACCCTAATTTCATATTTCAGCCCATTTACAAAAGAAGCCCTCAAAATATCTTCTTCCTCTTCACTTAACAAGGCTGAGACAGCTCAAACTTTCTTTGATTAACCTCTACCACGCCTAGTTGCCCCAAAGTGTTGTTCCCTTCTGCCTCCGTTTGATTTCCCAGATTATGATTGTGAATAGTTCCCAATGACTCTGGAAATTTCTCTCTACCTATTCGCCTTACTTCTTCTTCATATTTCCTTCTCATCCAAGCTTGTATTTCCATCAAACCATCCCAAATAGCATCAATATCTCTTCCAAGTTTTGACACTTCCCTCTCAACATTTTCTATTCTAACTTCCATTCTTGTACCAACCATCCCATAACCAAACCGCTCTGATACCAATTGATGGATGCCACTCCCATGCCAGCCAACCACAATAGAAATAACAAGCAAACAATCAAATTAAACCCATGAAGCAACAAGAATCAAGAGCCAAAATCTAGAAATACTAGCACATATATTGATATTCCAACAACACAAAATACACAACAACAAAAACTTAACAAAACTAGCCAAAATAGGAAATCAAATAAATCATAAACCAAAACTTGAAATCAAAATAATGTTGGTCTTCGAGAGCCAACTCCTCCTAGGTAGTGCTGGACTTCGAGGGCCAACAACCTCCCACTCTATACTTTTCTCTTTTTCTGTCCTTCCATATCCCATTGTCTCCCCTTTTATTCTATTCCTGATAACAGAATTCTTCAATCATCCACTCCTTTAATGCCATCTATCCCTCCCTAAACCATTCTTAACACCTCACACACAAGAACCTTCCTGGCTACTACACCAAAATCCCCTAATTCACACCCTTAAGTCTTTTACAATAGACTAGCATATTAGGAGTGGGTAGTTGGACAATCTCTGCAAAAGTGATAAGCCTGCTCTCCATTTGTTTGACATATGCCACATTGTCATGTATATCTTCACTAATATACTTTATTTTAGAAAGACCATTCAAGATATGTGCACAACACCAAACGTGCAATAGTTTCCCTCCATAGATGAGCCTATTGTTTATGGATAAATTCTCTTTCAATATTCTGGTTGTCGTATTGTTACTTGAGGCATTATTGATTGAGATCGTGTAAACATTGTTTTCAAAACCCCAATCCTTCAAACACTTATAAATCAAGTCTATAATCTGAACATTAGTACGAGGAGGTAGTATATGCACAAAGTTCAGCACACATTTCTACAACCTTGAATTACCATCTATAAATTGCCCCCTCACCACCATGTACTCAAACTTTTAATTGCTTGACTTCCATAAATCCGTCGTCAAGCTTACTTTGTCAACACTCTTTAGCAAAGTCTTCAATCTCTCTTCTCACTTTCATACAAAGCAACACAATCATTTTTGCGCGTATTGCAACTTATCTTCTCCCATTGAGGCATCCCATATCTTATATATTATTAAATTCATCCCCCTCCACAATTGCGAATGGATGCTCATGTATAAGCACCCAACTTGCAACTAGTTCCTTCATCTTAGCCATGCCAAACTTCCCATGACAAAATCAGTAGCACTTCCATCTAATTGCTGGAAAAATATTTGCTATTGCCTCTGGAAAACCATCCGCTGTACACAATTTCTTAAATCTCTGGAAATGTGAGTAGTGCCTAGCTTAGAGGCAATCTTTCACAATAACATTTGTATACATCTCTTTGGTGAAATCCTATAAAACAAAGGCAAAATCATGCCAAACTATTGTAATTGGCAAAATCCGAGTCTAGTGGAACTTCAAGGATGTTGACTTGAAAAAATCAATGTAGGAGACTCTTGATCAAAGCTCTGAACCACTATAAAACACTGAACATCTCTTCTCTCTCAACTTCTTTAATTTTTCTGTACATTTATTGCTATAACTTGTTTTAAAGCATTGTTATTGTGGTAATAATTTATTAATTTTCAAAGCTACAACAATTCCAAACATACTCTTAATATGTGGTAATAATTTATTAATTTTCAAAGCTGCAACAATTCCAAACATACTCTTAATATAAATAAATTAATATATATTTTTGTTAAGTTTTTGAATGATTAATATAGAACAAAACTATAAGAATTTGTACAATTAAATAGTTTCGATAACCTATATTTCATTTAATTAAAATTTGAATTATACAAAACAAAATAATAATATAAAAAATTATGGATGCAAAAATTTGGACACAAATTTATATTCGTATATATTGATTCAGTGCAATCCTAAAAAAACAAAGAAAAAAAGATAGAGGTCATTATTTTAATAGAGTAAATGACTTTTCTCACCCAAGGTTTGCCTTAATGACACTTTCCCACCTAAAAAGTTTCAAAATACGACTTTCCCACCTAAAGTTAAGATTCCATTGCTACCTAGAGCCGATTCCGACCGATTACAATACCGAAAATTCTCCCCGTCACCACCATTTGAATCTCTGGTCTCCTCTCTACAAAACTCTTCTCACTACAGCACCTGATTTCTCACCGATTGTTGGCCATTGCAAAGCAGAGTTTTATGTTCTTAGCTAATTTTTGGCTGATTCCAGGAGTGAATATTCAATCAATCACCACCATTTGATCCACCGGCCTCCACTCTACAAAAACCTTTTTACCCTAACTTTTAATAACTCGTCGAATGCTGGTTGAGAAAGTGAAGTGTATTTTAATTTTGGGTATTAACGGAATATAAATGTTGGGTGGGAAAGTGGTATTTTGAAACTTTTTGGATTGGGAAAGTGTCATTAATGCAAACCTTATATAATCTATTTCTCAATAATTACGTCGTTATAAATTAAAGAATAATAATCTATTTCACATGTTTCTATTTGCATACAATATAGTTTAACCTTATTTAATATAAAATGAAAGCTATATATTGTTATGCTAAGTGGCTTGTTGGTTGGTTAGCAAACAAACTTGTAATTGGTTAGAAATCTAACAAAAACATAATCGTGCCAAGAATAAAAGAAACCGTTACGAAAAAATAAAAAAAAATTAACCCAATCCATATTTATTCACAGAGTAAATATGGTTTGAAACCAAGGATATAATTAAATGGTGACCGTTTCATGTTCATCTTACTAACCGCAGATTGACCAATGACTAACCATAATCATCCTTCGACGCATGCATGCACGCACGTTTCCAAAACAGAATATTTTCAATAATTACAATACCATTAACCAAAAGCTCATAATGTCTTCCTCAATCCCTCAATTCCCGCGAAAACCTCACACACGCTCTGTCTTTCCATCTCTCGCGAAATTTCCATTTTTAATTTTAATTTATATTAAAAGTAAATCTCTCTCAATTTGTCCTTTGATGATGCCATGAACAACAGAAGCCAATTGTTCAATGTCCAGTGATAACCAAGATCCATCAACGCCGACACCGTCGGTGTCTTCGCCGTCATCGGCACGTGCCAAGATGCTGAGGAAGATTCCGCCGATCCCGATTCGTCGCGGCAAGAATGATGAGCTGGAAGATACTAATAATAATAACAATAATAATGATGATGATAAAGGTAACAAGGAGCTATCGGAAAGCGAGAAGTCGGCTATACTCTTAGCGTCTTCTCTTGGTTTAAACCATATTAAAACGAGATCCGCGTCGTCTCCATCGCCTCTTAGATTTTCTTCTTCAGCTGGTTTTCCGAATCTCAAGAATGAGGCCAAGAACGATAAGGTTAACGCTGAAACGGTGCCTAAATTCGTTGCTCCTACTGAAAGCAAAATAGCCAGGACCATGACGGAACCAGGTTCTCAATTGTCGATTTTTATTGGTCAATATGATGAACACGGGAAATTAATTTGAGCTTTCATTTTTTTTTATTAAATAATTAACAAAAATGATTGTTTACGAATTATGTTGCTAGTAGCTGAAGTTTTTCACCAAGTCTCCTGAGAATGTGTGTTTTTTATTTTTTATTATTGATATCAATATATGAAAAAAAATAATTAAAACTTTTTAAATGAATTTAATGTATATCCTTAAAGACACATCACACATGTAAATAAATATTCTCTTGAAAGCTTTTGGTATTTTTATTTTTACTTTTTGTTGAAAACTTGAACTGAAATGTTTCTATAAATTTATAGGACACATTGTTTGATTCAGCTTTTCGTAATTGTTTCATAGGGAAAAAGGTTCAATGGAGTCAATCAAAATCGTTAAGATTTACATCACCTCTCAATACAGAGTTGGAGGTAATAATTTTTTTTTTTTTTTGGGTTTATTTAGATACACAACATGTATTTAAGTTTGTTAAATGGAGAGATTTAGGTAAGTGGGGTTGATTACGTGGTTGCTTTTACAGGTTAATCATGCAGCATTTGCCAAGGAAATGCAATCGCCACGTTTCCAGGCTATACTGCGTGTCACTAGTGGCCGTAAGAAGAAAGCCTCAGAAATCAAGAGCTTCTCTCATGAACTCAATTCTAAGGGAGTACGGCCTTTTCCCGTTTGGAAATCCCGAGCATTGGGCCACATGGGGGTATATATGCACTTTCAGAGACCTATTTAGCGCACTAATATTTTCGTTTTTGGGTTGTATATTGATGTATGAAACTTCTTGATAAAATGGAACAAAAAATAATTTATATACTGCACTTTCAAAGCCTCAAAATTAAGATTCATTTAACATTGTCCTTTTTGCATCTCGATTTTACAAGTAGAAATCCTGGCTTATTGTATATGCAGAGTGTACTTTGTTAACAGAATGTTGATCTTTTAAGACTTGTAACTATATTTTCTTTATGTTAACAATGTATATTTGTCCAAAAAACTTCTACAGGAGATTATGGTAGCAATCCGGGCAAAGTTTGAGAAGTTGAAGGAGGAAGTTAATGCTGACTTGGGAGTACTAGCTGGTGACTTGGTGGGTATCCTGGAAAAGGCTTCAGATACTCATCCTGAATGGAAGGAGGGTTTGGAGGATCTGTTGGTGGTAGCTCAAAAATGTGCTACGATGTCACCAACTGAATTTTGGGTGAAATGTGAATATATTGTTCAGACTCTAGATGATAGACGTCAAGAACTACCGATGGGGATTCTCAAACAAGCCCATACCCGCCTACTTTTTATCCTCACTCGATGTACTAGGCTTGTACAGTTTCAGAAAGAGTCTGGTTGTGAACAAGATAACATTTTGGGACTACACAAACTTAGCGATCTTGGAGTTTATCCAGAGCAAATATTGGAAGTTGCACAGCAGGACTTTAGTGGCCCATTGACTGGTGGGAAGGTGGTGAATGAGAAGCAGAGGAAGAAGACACATGGGCAGGAACAGGGCAGTCAGATTTTGAAACAAGATCAAGATGACGAACTGAGTGGTGAAACTGAAAATGTGGAGGTTAGCACCGCCAAAAGTACTGATTCAAATACAAGCGGCTATAGGATGTCTTCTTGGAAGAAACTTCCATCTGGAGCTAGGAGAAATCGTAAGGGCTCGGATGCTGTTGATACGCCCTCTAAGGAGAAATCAGAGCCCTTTCGAACCAAGGATCAAAACAAAGCTGTGAGTGATGACGGGACTGGAAATTTGGATGCGCCATTCCATCTCCCATCCTTAGAAGCACCGAAGGCTTCTTGGGGATTCTGGGGGGATCATCAACATGTAACATTTGAAAATTCGATGATCTGTCGTATTTGTGAGGTAGAAATACCAATTGTGCATGTTGAAGAGCACTCTCGAATATGCACGATCACTGACAGATGTGACCTGAAAGGTCTAACTGTAAATGAACGTCTTGAAAGAGTTGCTGAAACTCTTGAAAAGATAATGGATTCATGCACACCGAAGAGCACACCCAGAAGCACTGATTCCCCAAGAGGAAGTTCGGAAGTTTCAAGAGGGCTTACAACAAGTATGAATGACGATTTAAATGAGATGTCATCAAAGACAATTAGCTTGCGTCGACAATGCTCCGAAGACATTCTTGAGCGCGTTTCTGAAGCTGAACATGCTTTTGTCATGGAAGATCTGAATGTTTTGCCCGAAATATCATGTGACAAAAGTTCTACACAGACTGTTCCTGATGTCGGCACAAAAACCCCATCACCAGGAAGCTTGACCCCGCGATCACCATTATTAACACCACGCACCAGCCAGATTGAATTGCTATTGAGTGGACAACGAACTCTAACAGAACTTCAAAACTCCCAGCAGGTAAGCTGTTATATTAACTTTTTATTCTTTTTGCACTTATCTTTTATCATCATTTTGGTTTAACGATCTTCGTGATAGTTGTAATGGATATCCTCATAACTCTAATAGCAAATTAATATGACCGTTTGGTTTTTTGCGTTGTAAAACCATGAGGTTTCTTTATTGTAATTTTCATTTTCTAATGTTATCTTGGGATGACAGATAAGCAAGTTACTGGATATAGCACGCTGCCTTGCAAAGTTAAATTATTGTGAGTATGGTACACTGGAGAAAATGCTTGATCGTTTGGAAGATCTAAAATACGTTATCCAGGATAGGAAGGTGGATGCCCTTCTGGTAGAAACTTTTGGACGGCGTATAGAGAAATTATTGCAGTAAGTCAATCTCTTATTCCAAATTTTACTTGTTTAATGTTTCTAGTTGCTGTGAAAAAATATGTTGGGGGTGGATATTCTTTATAGTAGTTCAATTGAGTAAATTGATATTTAACAACAAATCTACAGTTTGACTTCTTAGTTTCTGTTATCATCTCATTATCATATGTTTTTCCGATTGTTGGTTTGTTATTTTACATATAATATCTCAAATCTTTATATAACTATCGAAAATCTACAGGGAGAAATATGCATATCTTTGTGGACAGATAGAAGATGAAAAGGCAGACTCATCAAATGCCATGGCTGAAGAAGAGAGTTCAATGGATGAAGATCCGATGCGTAGTCTGCGTGCGAGCCCAATCAATCCATGTTCTAAGGATCGAACATCCATAGAAGATTTTGACATAATAAAACCAATCAGCCAAGGGGCATTTGGGCGAGTTTTCCTAGCCAGAAAAAGAGCAACTGGTGACTTATTTGCTATAAAGGTAACTATCCATATCTCCAGGAATTGGCTGACTCATATAGATAGAAGCCAATAAGACATGCTTAACCATTTTTCTCTCTGTATACCCTTTTCAAAGTGTATATGATGTTAGGGACACCCTGCATTATAAAAATGTGGATTCAATTGGGGTACTCGTAGTATCAAAGTGTCTTATATGCTATTTGATTGCTAAGAACTTACTGTTTTGTCATGATATGAATTATATGGGGAGCTTATTTGGGGATCCTGACCTTAAATAGAATATTACCTGCTTCTTAGTGTTATGAAACAAACCATGACTAGTTTCTGAGTAGAATTTAATATTAGATATTGACAATTGAAGTAAAACTTTACATTGGAACTCCTATAGTTTACTTCCCATTGCAGATTAAGGTGATCATTATCTCCTAAAACCATCAAAATAAGAAGAAGAAAAATATATATTAATTCCAACTTTTCCTTATTGTAAGGGCGTAAAGGGAGGTTTTCATTCAATGGCAAAGCAATACTTATAAGTTCTTGGCTCCCAGGTCATTAGTTTCTGCCCTTATTAGGTTTAGTTATTCTGGGAAGTTTCTGGTTCTAAGGTGTGTAACATATAGCTTGCCCTGCTTATGTTTGCAGCTCTTTAGTTTATCGAATAACATTTATATATCTGGCTACTGAAAATGTTGTATATATCTTTAGTCCATTTATCTGAAATATGATTCAATTACTGGATGTATGTTCCTGTGTTAGTATGTACACCTGTGTATTCTGAAAGTGTTTAATGCTTGTGTAATTTATCAAAAAGAAAAGAATAAGTGTTAACTGACCCAAAATGGTCTTCATCCTTGAGAATTAATCTGTTACAAGAATTGTCACAGGTCTTAAAGAAGGCTGATATGATTCGTAAAAACGCAGTTGAAAGTATTTTGGCTGAGCGCAATATCCTCATATCAGTTCGCAACCCTTTTGTGGTTAGCAAATTCCCTTGATGCTGAATAATTTTAGAGATGCATTACGTTGATAATTATCTAATACTAAATGATCTGATGATGAACAGGTCCGGTTTTTCTACTCGTTCACTTGCAGGGAAAATCTTTATCTGGTCATGGAGTATTTAAATGGTGGAGATCTCTACTCTCTGTTGAAAAACCTTGGTTGCTTAGATGAAGATATGGCCCGTGTATACGTTGCAGAACTTGTAAGGACATATTCATATTCCTTAATTGTTGAGGACTTTTGTGCTAACTTGATAAAAATTTCTCACAATAGTACACATAGTTTGTTTATTATTTCTCAGGTTCTTGCTTTGGAGTATTTGCACTCTGCAAATGTCATTCATAGAGATATAAAGCCAGACAACTTGTTAATTGGTCAAGATGGTCACATCAAGGTCAATATTTTGCAACCTAGTTCATAGTTTCCATTTTGTTAAGCTTGAACACTGAAGATGGTTGGGGAAATATTCCATTATATTGGCTCATTATTCAACGCTCACTGTTTTCTTTACCTTCGTTATCAATTTATCAATGACTAGAGTATGGCAGCATTGTGTAGCTGGCGCAAAATCAATATTGTTCTAGGAAACGGAAAAAATCCTTTATTTTTCTTTAGTGCCTTTAACAAATGCAATCAAGAAAATGAGCAGTTACCCTTAATGGTATTGGAATAATCAGCAGTACAACTATTCTTCATTTACATAATATGTCAGAATTTACTGTTTTTATGTGGGAATTGAGTTGATTTGTGTCTACTTATTCCTAAGATTACATGACATCTATGACTGTTTGTTTTGTATTGCATATTTGCTATGCTGTTTGATCTCTTCAGTTTTCATTTATACAGTAATGATTATGTTAATTGTCACCTCACACTTTCTTCTACTACAGTTGACAGATTTTGGGCTCTCTAAGGTTGGTCTTATCCACAGCACAGACGACTTAGCAGGTTCATCACTCAGTGGTGCTGGATTTCTTGGAGAAGAACCAAAAACTCAACCTTCATTGAATAGAGAACAGCGCCAAAAGCATTCAGTAGTTGGCACTCCTGATTATTTGGCACCTGAAATACTTCTTGGCATGGGACATGGTAAGCAAGTTATTTGCTAAAGGGTAGCACGCATAAATAAGAAACGAGAAAATGATTGTTTGATGCTCCACTTTTTTCTCCTCCTAGGTGCAACCGCTGATTGGTGGTCTGTTGGTGTTATTCTATTTGAGCTGCTTGTTGGTATTCCACCATTCAATGCAGAAACTCCACAGGTTGGCCATCTGAATATGATTAACTTTTAAATGATTCCAAACACAGTTTCTTCTTTCTTGTAAACAAACTGTCATCTAGGGTACAACTTGGCCTCATGACAACTGTGTCCGGTTGATTGCAGCAAATTTTTGACAATATAATGAATAGAGATATACCCTGGCCTGAGATACCTGGGGAAATGACCTATGAAGCTTATGATTTAATTGACAAGTAAGTTCTATAAAAGGATTTGTACATTTTATGTCTGTTTGCCTTCAGTCTGTATAAGTAATTTCCTTGAATGCATGTTCTTGATACGTCCATATTGAAAGAGAATATGTGTTTTTGGTCGACAATTCTTGCGCCCGTTAGAATCATTATGAGCATGATATGCAAATTACATTAACACATTTGTAATTGATTTCTTTCAGATTGTTAACTGAAAATCCAGTTCAAAGACTAGGAGCAACAGGAGCCAAAGAAGTAAACTGTTCACAACAATTAGCAAAGGCTTATTTATAATTATATTGTGATTTCAGGAACTAAGCAGACTTTTTTGGTAGGTGAAGAGACATCCTTTCTTCAAGGATATCAGCTGGGACACGCTTGAAATGCAAAAGGTCTTATTTTAGAATTCTTGAAATCCTTGCAAGACAAAAAGTCTTAAGTAAACTCTTAACAACTATTTCCTTACTCTGTAACTACCCTTCTTTGCTGCAGGCTATGTTCATACCAGTAGCAGACACTCTTGATACTAGTTACTTTGTGAGCCGTTATGTGTGGAATCCAGAAGAGGAAAATTTTCAGGGAGGTAGTGATTTTGATGACATGACAGACTCGTGCAGCAGCGGTTCACTCAGCATCACACATGAAGAGGATGTGAGAACATACTTTTATCCTGATCATCCATGGAACTCTTTGCACATAGGGCTGTCAGTAGGTCAAACCGTGGCCTGATACCATTTGACAACAGCTTCAATCTGATTGTTTTAATGCCAATTAAGCGCCCAACCTCTATGGAACTATGTAGACAAAGTAAAACTCAAAGATATGATGAGGAACTGAAGCCAAAAATCTTATGAGAATTTCCATTCGAATTTGATGAGGATTCTGGCAGCCCTATGTGCTCAATATTTTATTATTCTGATTGTTGTTTTCTTGTACAACAGAGGGATGAATGTGGCAGTTTAGCAGAATTCAATTCCTCAACTCTTTTGCAGTACTCTTTTAGTAATTTCTCATTCAAGGTAAAACCTTCCACACTTAAATTTATATTCTATTGTCATGAGAAAAATTATTATATTAGATGGAAATGAATCTTTGTTGCGGTTTGTATAACTTTCCTTAATCTGACAAGGTAATTGCTTGCATAAGATTTTGAATAGATGTATAACTTTTAAGTTTTGCAATATTTAATTTAAGAGCCGTTGCGTCATATTCTTATCATCAATTAGACAAATTGCGCTTGGAAAAGGGGTAAGGCCGAGGGGAGGAAAGAATCAAAATTATATTTTTCTTACCAGAAATTAAAATACTTTTGTGTTCTTGAAAGCTTCCTTCAAGACTTCATTTAGTCAGGTTTGAATTGATATATTCTTTTCCTTTGGTCCAATTTAGTCTGTTTTCCAAGTTTAGTCAAGTTTGAACTGATCCTGTGGACCTCTGGTTCAATCAGTCTAACTCTAATGTTCAAATTAGGTGATGAAAGCTATTGATGTAGTCAATTTTGGTCCTCAAGGGTCATTTACATTAAGTTGTAAAAGCCCGGGATAGGTTTGTATACAGTGGTCCTCAGCCTTGGTCCTGGAACTTTAAACAGGGGCTGGAGACTAGGATAGGGATTGGCTAAATGCCAGTAACCACTCCTTGTACCCAGATTCAAAGCCTATCAACGTAATGAGACAAATCCCCAATGAGCCAAATTAAATTTTTTCCATTTTGGCCCAATAAAAAACCTAAATTAAAAATGGTGAAAATGCTTATTTTTACTTTTTCTTACACAATAGCAAATTGAAAAATAAATTATATATTACGGGGGCCAAGGCCAAATCTTAAGTGGAAATCTCAGCCTTAGTTGAAGCTTGAGGATCTCCACAGATCTCTCTAATAGACTAGGGAGAGGCATAAGAGGGAAAAAATTGACATGGAGGAGGGAGAGATGAAAGCTATGTGTTCTTAAAGTTAGTGAAGCTAGTTAACTACTTGTTCATATATCTGGAATACTGGTCACTTTAATGATAAAATCAGAATTTCAAAGAGCATATTGAAGTTTAAACTAAACATTGAGGACCAAAATAGTGCTGCAACAAAAATGTTTTAATTATGATTATGGTGCTAAACATCAAATATCCGCTCCATTTTTATGAAATTACAATCTGATATTAGAATTGACATGTTGTTTGTTTGCTCAGAACTTGTCGCAGCTGGCTTCTATCAATTATGATATGGTGGTAAAGAGCTCCAGGGAATCAAAAGAAGCCTCCAAACCACCTGTTCCATGAAAGTGATCACATGGTTACTTCAGCATGTATATACTCTCACTTATCAGACATCTAGTTAGCTCTTTCATATATGGTTTGAAGAAAAACCACAACCTCATGACAAGTTCAAGAAGATGCTGATCTGTTTTTCCTTTTTCCTTTTTTTTTTTTTTATTTAACAAAAATAGGTGGACACTCTGGTTGTAAGGTCTCAGTCCATGCTCACCAACTTATGATGAAAATGGACCTGAAGTTAGTCATCCTGCTGCCTATCCACCTCCTAGGATCATCCATGCCAAAAATGGCAGTTCATTGGAACAGGTCATGGTTTTTTTCTTTCTTTTTCTTTTAATAAATAGAGGGTTTTCTTTTCTTTGTATATATTTACAAAAATCTTTCTAATAGATAAAATTTTGTGAGATTATATTATTTTAGGCTATGATTTTCCTGGTTGTTCCATGGACATATATTTATTGCCATTATGGCCGGTTCTGTGACTTAGTATTGAGAGATTAAATAATTTTTTTTTCTTTCTTTTTCCTCTTATCATGACCTTTGCCCCCTTCTCTTTGAAAGTTGAAATTTATGCTTTCTGTAATTACCTTCATGTGGCTGGGGAAAGATAAATTACTTAGGCTTAAAATAAAGACAACTGAAATTCTTTTGCCCCATTCTAGGATTGGTTTTGGCATGAATTCTGCCACACTATTAACACGTGCAGTTTTTCTTTTTCTTTTTGTTTTTTGATTATGGTGTTGCTAACTGTTTTTTAGGGGTCTCCTTAATGGGTGTCCATAGAATAGTAGTATGACATAATCGAGAAGAACCATAATATAAAAACGGCACTTCAGTGGAAATCCGAAGAGGATTGTAAAAAGAGGCATGAGGTATTCATATTAAATAGATACGAGGTGTTTTATGCTCTTCGAAATTTTCTTGAATAAGATTTTTATAAATCTGTTCCTCCAGTTTGTTTATGCAAATGTTCGTTGATGGTACTGAAGGCATGGTCTTAAAAATGAATGGCCATAAATCTTCATTGCCGAATGATTTTTTCTTGTAATGCACTTCAGTTTATAGGTGACTAAGATAGATCGATATAATAGATAGTACAGCACAAAGAGGCCCTTCTTTTAACTCTTATTGGTAGCCTGCAGGCCAATATATATAAAAGAGTGCAAGAGGTTTAAAAAATATTAACTTTCTTCTCAGTGTTGCACTAATATTATCTGTGACCAAATCATCATCAAAGTGAGTTGGCATTCCACATTCTTCCTTGGGACAGAAAGAATAAAGGAGCATGGTTCACTAGCTGCCAACTTCATACGTTACATCATCTAATGTTATAACAATGATAGAGAGCTTGAAATTTTATCAAACTGATCGTAAGTGGATATCTCCAATTAGGAAGCTCTAAATTCTTATGTCGTTTCTGGATTTTTTTTTTTGGTAAGTAAGTAGTATCATTAAAAAAGATAGTATCATTAAAAAAGAGAAAACATATACAGAGAGGTTATAAAAAAGCTGACCATCAAATCTTAGGACAAATCTTGTGATGGGAACGAAAACATATACCTAATAGGCTGAGAATATAATCTTCTCTTGTTTGTCTATCTTAAGCATGGGAAGGATAGGAGACGAGATGAGAGGAGCAAGCAAAAGAACACAAAAACAAAGACATCTTATCATAAGACATGCCTTGGGATATGATTAAAAAAAAACCTAAACGAGACTAACAACAACAATATATAACATCATTCCTACCTCAGGAAAACATCATTTCTAGATATTTTAATCACGCATTCTCGTCATTTAGTCTCAAACAAATAAGGCTCCTTGTCTTAGGTTATATGATAACATTAAGAAAAGACCTACATTTTATGTTACATATACAACGGCAGTAAAAAATTTAGTTGTTGTTTTCTAAATGATGCAATGGTGGTTGGAGTATCATTATCAATATCATATGCCATTGATGTAGTTTCTTATTTGTAAGAGTCTCTTTCATCTTTTGAATCCATTCCCAGCTAGCTCTTCTCTTTATACATATATAAATATCTTACTTCTTACTCAGTAATTAACCATCATGTTTCATAGTTTTATAAGGGGACCATCGACTTTTGTATTCCCTTGTTTGTTCTACAGTTCTTTTAATCTTCACTTATTTTAATGTTCTAAAAGGCTTTCTCAGGGGTCAATCTCAAAACTTTATAATTTAAAGATTATCATCATTGATGGAGCATATATTATATAGCATTAAAGGGAACAACTTGAAAAATTGTTATGACTGTTTGAGAATACATGGTGCCCACAACTTAAAATATAATAGGACAGGAAAGACATTTATCTTATATATCTTATATATCTTCAAATTCAATGGATTTATATGATTTCAGAGACCTTCCTTACTTTTTACTACATCTTGTAGAAGTTCAATTTAAAGACATTTGAGTTTCAAATTTTACTAAGTGTTTTGTACTGACATACGGTTTAGTGTCAAGGCACATTTTTTTAGATGATGCTAATTTTGCGTCGAAGAAGGCCTGCCCCGGCTGTCTTTGTTGGCCGATGCTGCTTTTACCATCGGAGCAGGCCTTAATTCCAGCGGTGTACTCCACTCCACATTCACCATTTATTAGTGGATCATGTTATGATAGTTACCTCATACCAAATTTGTTAAAAATCAGAAATTTTGTCTTGTATTATGATGAGTAAGCTTGTTTAATTTTATTTGCTAAATAATCATCACCTCTTGGACTTGGTGGAGCAGAAAAGATAGATTAAATACAAATATGTAATTGGGATCACTGGAAATTTGCTTATCTGTAAAGCGCTAAGTGTGCAACGTCCCCAGTATACACTAAGGACCAAGAGCCAATTATAGCAGAAACTTGAAAAATATTATACTACTGTAATCTGTTTAAAGTTAGATTTAATGGCTTAATGGTTTTGTGGGCATTGCCAACTTTCAGGAGCACGTAATTTTCTATTAATTTGTTTTATTAATAAGAGTAAACTGAGTTTTTCTTATCTAAATAATGGCTAAACGATACTTTCATATCTATAGATTTTTAAAATACCACTTTATTATGTAAATTTGTATTCTGTTTCTAATTCTGGCATCGTTGTGACCCCACACCACTACCATTCTTTTCCCGATCATGACTCACCAAATCTTATCAAATCCTACCCCTGTTGACCTTACCAATAACTGGAAATCAAGCGATTAGGGATTGCATAACCACCTCCCAAGTCAAATTCTGATCAATTTCAATCACCAAAATCTAATCTTTTCACCACCAAAAGACTCATCGGCCTCTTCTCTTCAAAAGCTCTAATAGCTTGGACCGAGTTTGCTCTCTGTTTGCCGTCGGAATATAATTTTAGGTAGTAAAATGATATTTTAAAATATGTGGGTGAGATTGTGTCATTAAACCATTATTTGTATGGGAAAAAGTCGACTCTATTAATAAATACTAGTTGAAATTAAATAGATGTGGTAATGATCAACGTGACCAAGCTACCATTGAAATCAATCGATGACCCTTTAATTTTGTATTAATTAAATTTCTCATTAATACAGATAATTATTATGACTGTGATATATATATTTATATTCATATTGTTGTGATACTGATGTTGATCCATTAGTTCATATGTCTATGTTGCTTACTTCCTTAGAATGTGATGAAATTTTTTTATACAAATATTTTAAACATTAATTTGCAAAAAAAAAAAAAAATCAATATTTTAGTTGAATTTATTCATATTTTAAGAATATTCTGCCATGAGTTATGATCAGGTTGACCGCTTCTTCTTCTTTTATTGTTCACATATTATATAGCTTTTAAAAAATGGTTTCAATTTTTGGTAGATATTTATTTTGACCATTTTTTTTTTTAATATTTAAAGTTTTCATGCATGGAAAATTATTGTTTGTGGAATTTCTAAAGGTGATATTCGAGATTTTCTCACATTGGATTACGACTGATTTTTAATTTCTTCGTTTAATAGTCAATTAGCATACCGTATTTTGTTTGAATCTGTTATATATTACTGTCACATCAAAATAAATTAATTTTGCTCCTCGGAATGCATTTTTGAATCTGTGATGATATTTTTTTATACAAATATTTTAAACATTAATTTGCAAAAAAAAAAAATCAATATTTTCTTTGAATTTATTCATATTTTAAGAATATTCTGCCATGAGTTATGATCAGGTTGACTGCTTATTCTTCTTTTCTTGTTCACATATTATATAGTTTTTAAAAAATGGTTTTAATTTTTGGTAGATATTTATTTTTGACCATTATTATTATTATTATTATTATTTTGATAGTTTGTGGAATTTCTAAAGGTGATATTCGAGATTTTCTCACATTGGATTACGACTGATTTTTAATTTCTTCATTTAATAGTCAATTAGCATACCGTATTTTTTTGAATCTGTTATCTATTACTTTCATATTAAAATAAATTAATTTTGCTCCTTGTAATGCATTATTGTATAATAAGAGATCGAATTGTTGGGTTGATAATTGAATAAAAATGATAATGCGTTGACAAATACTGTCAAGAACCAGTTGAGTAGTCCAGTGGTCAATTAAAACTTTTGAGTGTATTATTTAAGAAGTCTTGAATTTGATTCACCTTGACCCTTAATAGCAGTAGCCACTGAAGGTTTACACAGTTGTTAACTTCAGGATCCCGAAATTAGTTGAGGTGTGTTTAAGCTAATCCGTACACCCCCGAACAACCAACTGCTTAAAGTGCTTCTCAAGAATAAGTATCAAGTGATGAAGTAAATTAGAAATGTTATGAAAGGCTTACAGAAGAAGTACTTTTGAGACTAAAATATTGTTTATAAAAAAAAAAAAACACTTTGAAAAAATTTAAAATTGGTTGGACTGCAACTAGATTTGTCAAGAGTTGAGTATCAAAGTTCACAACCCCATTACTTAATTATTGTTGGGCACAATAAAATAATAATATGGTACATAAACAAGAGAAGATCATCATAAAAGTACAAAAGTTCATCCTATAATTTTCTCTTTTACTTTATTAAGAAGAGGCAAAGCTACATTTAATTACATTAATTTATATTCAAGTATCGCATTTGTTTCTTCAACCTCACAGCTCTGAAAAGAGTGGGGTGACCCTTTAGGTAGAATATCTCCTTCTTTTAATTGCAGATCCTTCAGGTTGATAAGATGATAATATAATGCCAGACAAGAACAAAAAGAAAGGAAGACAGATATGGTTTGATTTTGCTTAAGAAACCAAATTTATTTCTTAAACACTTGTTTTCTTCTTGGTTCTTCTGCAGAAATTTTTGAAGTAAATAATGGTTGTCCAGAAATCCTGAAGCTTCTCTTTTTACATAACAACTCCAGAAAGTTGAATATATGGATTGTCATAGCTTGCTCCCCATGTCTAGTACTGCATTAATGTCCTTTTCATTGAAACAATTTCCAAGCCCAAATTCTCCTTCTCCAAACTCTTGATAGTCCATCAACCATGAACAGTTTTCTTCTGATGAAGACAATCTTCCAAATTGATCACCATATTCTATTTCTCTGGCTGCTGGGAAGCTCCATGAAGTGTCATCAAGAAATGTCTCTGACCACATGTAACTCATCAACAGGTCGTCATCACTACTGTTTGGATCCAATGACCTCGAATTCGATTCATCAGTTGAATAATTCTCAGTCTGAGAGCTCACTTTTGCCTCCTCTTGCTGATCATTATTAACATCAAACTTTGCAGCTGCCTCAGGATTATTATCTTGTGTACCGGTTTCTTGTTTTTTCAGAGGCTCATGCGTAACCGGATCGATTCCCATCTTAATAAGCTTCTTCTTGATGTGGGTATTCCAATGATTCTTGATCTCATTATCCGTTCTTCCTGGCAATCTTGCTGCAATTTTAGACCACCTAAACATAACCAAAACTGCACGTTAATAACAACAAGAAAAAGAAAAAAAACATAAACATTCCCATTACATCCAGGGAAATTAAAAAAGAATATATAGTAAAGTAGACCTATTGCCAAGGCGAGCATGGAGATCAATGACAAGTTGTTCTTCAGCTTCATTAAGAAGGCCACGTTTGAGGTCAGGGCGGAGATAGTTAGTCCAGCGGAGGCGGCAGCTCTTGCCACAGCGACGGAGGCCAGCGAGCTTGGGGACAGCCCGCCAACAACAATGGCCATGAGTGAGAATAAAGGTGACCAATTTTTTGTCCTCCTCAGCAGTCCAAGGACCCTTCTTGACACCGAGTTTGTCACAACAAGGTTGCCTTCCCATTTGAGTTTCAAAGTGGGTAATTTAATTAAACTATACTTCAACAATAACGCCAACAACTTAATCCCACCCACCTATTTATACTACTCCTCTTGCCTTCCTTTTGGGGTTTTCATTTCTCCTTTTATCTTACCCTTNTTTGAATCTGTTATCTATTACTTTCATATTAAAATAAATTAATTTTGCTCCTCGTAATGCATTATTGTATAATAAGAGATTGAATTGTTGGGTTGATAATTGAAATAAAAATGATAATGCGTTGACAAATACTGTCAAGAACCAGTTGAGTGTTCGAGTGGTCAATTAAAACTTTTTGAGTGTATTATTCAAAAAGTCTTGAGTTTGATTCACTTTGTCTTCTAATAGCAGTGGCCACTGAAGGTTTACACAGTTGTTAATTTCAGGATCCCAAAATTAGTTGAGGTGTGTTTAAGCTAATCCGTACACCCCCGAACAACCAACTGCTTAAAGTGCTTCTCAAGAATAAGTATCAAGTGATGAAGTAAATTAGAAATGTTATGAAAGGCTTATAGAAGAAGTACTTTTGAGACTAAAATATTGTTTATAAAAAAACACTTTGAAAAAATTTAAAATTGGTTGGACTGCAACTAGATTTGTCAAGAGTTGAGTATCAAAGTTTACAACCCCATTACTTAATTATTTTGGGCACAATAAAATAATAATATGGTACATAAACAAGAGAAGATCATCATAAAAGTACAAAAGTTCATCCTATAATTTTCTCTTTTACTTTATTAAGAAGAGGCAAAGCTACATTTAATTACATTAATTTATATTCAAGTATTGCATTTGTTTCTTCAACCTCACAGCTCTGAAAAGAGTGGGGTTACCCTTTAGGTGGAATATCTCCTTCTTTTAATTGCAGATCCTTCAGGTTGATAAGATGATAATATAATGCCAGACAAGAACAAAAAGAAAGAAAAACAGATATGGTTTGATTTTGCTTAAGAAACCAAATTTATTTCTTAAACACTTGTTTTCTTCTTGGTTCTTCTGCAGAAATTTTTGGAAGTAAATAATGGTTGTCCAGAAATCCTGAAGCTTCTCTTTTTACATAACAACTCCAGAAGATTGAATATATGGATTGTCATAGCTTGCTCCCCATGTCTAGTACTGCATTAATGTCCTTTTCATTGAAACAATTTCCAAGCCCAAATTCACCTTCTCCAAACTCTTGATAGTCCATCAACCATGAACAGTTTTCTTCTGATGAAGACAATCTTCCAAATTGATCACCATATTCTATTTCTCTGGCAGCTGGGAAGCTCCATGAAGTGTCATCAAGAAATGTCTCTGACCACATGTAACTCATCAACAGGTCGTCATCACTACTGTTTGGATCCAATGACCTGGAATTCGATTCATCAGTTGAATAATTCTCAGTCCGAGAGCTCACTTTTGCCTCCTCCTGCTGATCATTATTAACATCAAACTTTGCAGCTGCCTCAGGATTATTATTATCTTGTGTACCGGTTTCTTGTTTTTTCAGAGGCTCATGCGTAACCGGATCGATTCCCATCTTAATAAGCTTCTTCTTGATGTGGGTATTCCAATGATTCTTGATCTCATTATCCGTTCTTCCTGGCAATCTTGCTGCAATTTTAGACCACCTAAACATAACCAAAACTGCACGTTAATAACAACAAGAAAAAGAAAAAAAACATAAACATTCCCATTACATCCAGGGAAATTAAAAAAGAATATATAGTAAAGTAGACCTATTGCCAAGGCGAGCATGGAGATCAATGACAAGTTGTTCTTCAGCTTCATTAAGAAGGCCACGTTTGAGGTCAGGGCGGAGATAGTTAGTCCAGCGGAGGCGGCAGCTCTTGCCACAGCGACGGAGGCCAGCGAGCTTGGGGACGGCCCGCCAGCAACAATGGCCATGAGTGAGAATAAAGGTGACCAATTTTTTGTCCTCTTCAGCAGTCCAAGGACCCTTCTTGACGCCGAGTTTGTCACAACAAGGCTGCCTTCCCATTTGAGTTTCAAAGTGGGTAATTTAATTAAACTATACTTCAACAATAACGCCAACAACCTAATCCCACCCACCTATTTATACTACTCCTCTTGCCTTCCTTTTGGGGTTTTCATTTCTCCTTTTATCTTACCCTTTTCTTATTGTCCGTGTTTCTCACTTTAATTAATTAAATCATTTTTTTTTTAAATAATATCTCAGACTTTTATTCCAAATAATGTCTCATATTTTGTAACTTTAATGTATGGTAAATAATATGTTAATGTCACTTAAAATAATAATAAAAAATATAGTATTACTTAATTTAAGTGTAATTTTCTTTAATCCGACACTCATTTTTAGGTTCTTTACTTTACATTGAAGAAATAATATAATTTATTTCCTATCTTATCCCAATTCACCTAAACTGAATCTCATAATAATTTAAAAAAAAAAAAAAAAAATATATATATAAAAAGACATATTTCTTTTTCAATTATAAAACAATCAGCTTTTAATTTAAAATAAAAAAACTAATTTTGATCAAAGTCTAAGGCTGCTTTTAAGATATAATTGTGAGTGATCATGACAAGAAAATTAATTTTATAATAATTAAATAAAGAATTATGTAGGGTGAGTGTGTAGGAACGCGCCTCCGAGGGGTGGGGGGATGAGGTGGAGATATGGGGACCCACCATGGGTTAATGAAAGCAGCCTGGGACCTAAATTGATATATTCTTGGGTGTCAGGCTCCACTGAAGTAGGGCCCATGATAGTGAAGGTGCAAATATGAATCGTCCAATGAAAAGCTTACGCATACACACTTGAAGCTCACGTTGTATTTTATCGTTATAAAAATTAAGAGTACAAACAAATTACTTAAGCATTACATCACCCATTTCATCATCACCACTACAATGTTAAGCAACCCTAATACTGTACTAACATTACATCATATATTCTATAAATTTATTATATAAAAATACGGATCTTATATAATAAATAATAAATCTTCAATTTAATTATAAAAATCAATAATTATTTCAAATTTCTTAATTTTTTTTTCTAAACTTTTTTTGTTATCGGGGATGCTTAGGTTAGCTTATGCATATCTTGTCTCGACAAGTCTCTCGATCTAGAACAAGACTTTCGAAACAGGATAAACCCTACGATCCGTAACCAATAATATTATCAACCATTCTTGTGATTCAAACTTAAGACCATAAGGGAAGCAAACCCTTTAGCCCCAAGCATTTATCACTCGGTCAATCCATTGCTGATTCTTTCTAAATTCCAAAAAGGTTATAGTGATATTTAAGTTTTATTTTGTTTATCCGCATAACAAATATAAGGGTTGTTTTTATTTTCCTTTTTATGTATTACATAACAATAATAAAGAATTAGTAATAATATTAATATAGTGATACCCAATGAACCCATATGTAACAGATGCACCATATATACTTCCATGTCAATCTATCATAAATTTGATGTTAGATATAAACAAATATTATACTTTATGTTTGGTTACATATTCAAAATAATGAATTCCATGTTTACATTATAAATCACACTTTTTTTTATTATAAAATTTGATTATATAACACACTTTATATTACAGATAGTTTACGTTATCGAAGTAAAACTTGTAAATAATATATTTTTATTCCAAGCAAATGGTCTCAATAACTTAGGCTTCGTTTGATTCGCTTTTGAGAATACTATTATTAGTATTCCCAAAAAAGTTAAACAATAAAATGTCATTATTCCTAAAATATTATTCTATATTTTTTTAATTTCTTTTAAACCACTTAAATTTGTTAATTTAACTAAACACCCCCAAATATTTTTTTTTTAGAAATTGCAAAAATACTCCGACCACCCTCCGGCGGTGGTAGTCGGCTGTCCGTATTTAATGGATAGATTGGGGGTATTTTTGTTAACTTTTAATATTTTATTATAGGGGTGTTTAGTAAATAAACAAACACAAGAGATATTTTTATTAACTTTTAAATTTTACATCGTAATACCTATCCAATTTAATTTTTTTCAAAAAATTATTCTAAAAACTATCAAAATAATGAACTAAACCGAGCCTTAATTTCGAACACCATTATGGTTAGCGAAAGGCAATTTTAGCGCGGGAGCACAAGACAGACAGACACTCGTTCAGTTTTTGTCATTAATTGGCTTTGACCCTCCCGTAACTCGAACCCGTGCTCTGATATCAGTAAACTCAAGGCGCTTATTCCACCACGCTTTGTTTATTTATATATTAAACTTCACTGTCATTAAAGTGTTATTTTATCTCTTATTTATCTTACCAACCAACATGATAGTTTAACATTTAAATAATGATAATTAATACTCAAGTAAACCCCAATTAGGGATTTTATGAGTTTTGATGAACTCAAATTTAAAGAGAGCCATTTAATCCAAAACGATGACGTGCAGAAGTGGGAGTAGATTAGGTTAGAGTGTACAAGTGATGCAAGCAAATCGAATGACATAGCTAGGAATATGAAGAGATATAAGTTAAAACTACTACTGATTTTGTATTTTTTTAATCTAAGAGATTACTTAAACTCTTTATTATAAAGAGTTTATCCATAAAAATAAGAGTTTAATAGATTCTTTATCTTTAAAATATAAATTAGAGAGTGAGTTTGATTCTCCACATTTAGAGAGTCAAATTTCACTTTCTATCATAATTTTAATTAATAAACTACAAGTTCCTATGTATTTTATTTATTAATTCTCTTTCACGTTAAGTCTCTTTCTTAAAAATATAGAGTATCTTCATTAAATTTAAAGAGTCTATTAGATTTGAATAAAAATTATGTTCTTTATATTTTAAAATTAATGAAGATACTCTTTATTTATATGAAATATGCTCTTGAGCACCATTGGAGATGCTCTAAGAACGAAATTAAATTATGAGTTATAATTAAAGGTTGAATCGCACCCGAAGTTTTCCCTAACATATTTACTATCTAAAAAGTTTGAAAATGACAATTACCCATCAACCATTAATTTTGTCCATTAAATTGAACTGCAGAAAGATATGATGGTAAATTCAAAAGTAGTCAAAGGGTAATTATATCATTTTATGCCCTATATATAAAATAAATAGTAAAAAATATATATCTTCTTCTCATCTCTCCCTTCTCCTCCCATTTTCTTCTTCTTCTTCATCTCCCCCTCCTCTGCCGTCGGTATCTCCATCAATATTTCACTACCTTTCTGACAATCGACATCTCCCAATCAACAGCCCTTCCACTCTCCCCGCCAACAGTTGCCCCCAATCGTCGAATTTCGCCTCCCTGCCCATCTGAGTCCCTCAATTGCGCGATTGTCTCCATTGCAGTCACGTGACAAACCACCCCACCTCAGCCGACGAAATCTACGACATTAATGGCATGTGGGTAATTATCGTATAGATATTAACGATGGGTGGGTAATTGTCGTTTTCAAACTTTTTGGATAGTAAATTGTTGTTAGGGCAAACTTCAGGTGGAAAAATGTGGTTAAGCCTATAATTAAATCTTCTGATTTTTTATTATTATATTGATTTGCTAGCAATTAACTAAATACAATTATGATGTAATCGTTGTGTAGTGGCATCGTCATAAAGCTAAACCCATACCCATATGTAAGCAAATATAATAATAATAAACATAGACATCAAAAAGAAGAAAACAAAAAAACAAAGATGATTGATTTGAGGGATGTGGGTTGGTTTTTGATTGGTTAATTTAGGAATAAACTTTTCTGATTAGCTTTAATTGTACAAGCAGCAACCTCTGATTAATTAGGCATATAATCCACAATTCTTTCATGGGTTCAATGAAAAATTAATTTAAAAAAAAAAAAAGAAAAGTCTTGAATTGACGAGGCAATAGAATCTTGGGTTTGATTGATTGATGGTTGGAGAATTGGACTAAAGGGCAAAGTGATTGTTTTTGACTTTTGTTTTTCTAAAGTGGAATAATGTTGATAATGATCATAAAACCATTGCATTGAGTACGTATATGTCAAGTTGAAGGAATCTTAAATCTTTTCGTTTCAATTAAATAGTTTTACTTTTGAACAATTGATGAGGTGGAAATTGGGTCATCATTTTACATAAGCTACAATGTCGTCTCAATTGGGCAAGTTCATTTTGTTTAGAATTAGTCCAAGCCCTGTCCTCCTCCTGGCCCAATTTTGGGCTTCATTTGCCTTGCCCAAATATAAACCTAATCTTCTTGAATGTTATGTGGACACTGCTTCATTCCAAAACAAAACATTGTTTATGCAACCTCAGATGGATGTCTCATCCATCATACTTCTTGAACAAGTAGGGTTTAACCAATTTAAGATCCTAAAATTTAAAAAAAAAAAAAAAAAAAAAGTTCATTTGAACTATAGCTTAAAGGTAAGGAGGGTATAACCAAACTACAACTTCAATAAGTTGATTATAGAGTAAACGACTTTTTCCCACCTAAATAATAGTTTAATGATGCTTTTTTCACTTAAAAAAATTTCAAAATACAATTTTATTACCAAAGCACAATTTCGTTAGTAAATTTTATTGTGAAGAAGATTAGGATGGTCAAAAGTCTCTTATAAGTAAAGGTAGGATGGACTTTCCTCACGACGTCTATCCCACTCAATAGCACCAACCTTTTTGCCTCCATTAGCTGACAAACCCCCATCGCCATCAACCTTGCTAGCCCCCCTAATCGCGTGATTGACGTCACTAACCAATTGCGCGTGCCTCTTGCTCCACTTGGCAGGCGCGATTTCAGCCACATTGTTGTACCCAACTGCCATCCTCACCACCCCCTTTGTTTGCCTTGTTGTTGTGTGTAAACCAACCATCTTCCACCGCCGTTGGGTTTTGCGATTTAATTATTTTGGAGCTTTTTTGAAGCATTTTGATAGTTGTTTTGGTGTTGTTGGTGTGTTGAGTTTTGTTGGCTTGATTGTGGGTGTTTTTCCTGGTTTTTCCACCTTCCTTAGCCATTCCATCTTCTTCTTCTCTCGGGTGCACACCGAGAACTTGACGAAAAGCCCCAGTCAGTGCGCGCAAGCCCAATGCACGTGAGCGCCAACTGGTGTGAGAAGGATATTTTTGTCTTTAGAATAAATATCACTGTATTTAACGAAAATTATTAATAGAATATAACATATGGGTAGTAAAGTTTATTTTGAAACTTTTTGGGTGAAAAAGTATCATTAGATCATTATTTGGAATAAGACTATATATATAGGGGTGAGCATGGGTAAAGGATAGAATTGAAACCGACAGATTCCACCCACTAGTTTTGGGTAGGAACCGGAATTAGCCCTATTGCTATTAGGGTCCCGTTCCGATTTTAAAAAATTAGAATCGAGAATTCCCAGGTCTAGTTTCAATTCCTACAGTGCTTGAACTGGAATCGAAATTGAGGTTTGGGTACCAGATAGGAATTAAGACTAAATTGTAATTTTTGTAAACTATTGGGGGTGTATGAGTAATTTTTTAGGGATGTACTTGTTATTTTTTAAAAAGTTGATTGAAACTAAAAACTATGTTTTAGGTTCCGTTTCTAGGTTTCTAGAAATCGAAACCGGCCAGTTCCTGTTCCGATTTCAAATCTTAGGAATTGGTTGGTTTCGGTTCTGCTTCCTTAAAAAAATGCAGGATATCTGGAACTGATATATACCCGAGCTTCAATATTGGACTTTAACCCTAATGATTGAATCAAAAAATAATTTTGTGAGCAATTAATAAAATTTCAACAAATATATATATCTATAATACCAATCTATTTGACAAAAGAGAATTACATTAATTTTTTATTTTGAAAAGTTAAAACTTATTTTAAATAATATTGACAAAATAAAGAAAGTTGTTTTATTAAAAAAAATACTTTTTTATCAGAAAAGAAAAGTCAAATAACAAATTTTGATTGGGTTTAATAATAATTTGACCAAAAAAGAGTTGACGTGGCTTGAGTTTGAAGGTTTTCAACTAGAATTTGCATTTGCATGAAGTCACAGGCTTTTTCATTCACTATGTGCCGCGCACGTTGCGCCCCTGTATTAGCTCAAACACTCTCAGTAGTTATTCATAAAGTAATAATCGACTGTTTTTTTTGTTTTCTTCCTCGCACGAGGCGTTACTTGTTCGACTAAATGTCTCACTGAACCTTTGATCTACTTAATTTACAGAAAACGCTGCTGTAGAAACATGTGGAGGCGCGTGGCTTCACTTTCTCCTTTGATCTCTTCCTCAATATCGTCCTATCTTAACCAGGTAACCATCGTCAACTCACGGGTTTCAACATCATCCTCTCTTAAATTACATTTTTTTCTTTTTTTTTAAATCTTGATTTGTTGAAGCTTATCTGGGCTCTCATTATTAGTACAAATGATGATGTTTACGATTCATTTTTTTTTTTTAATTAACAGCGAATATGAATGTTGCTAATATGATATTGCGCCAAACTGTAATGAATATGTTAATTATGATGATTTTACTTGCGTCTGCGCTCTGTTGCCACTCTAAGAAACCTGAAACGCCTTATTGAATTTGATATTAAGCTTGAAGGCATTATGTTGGATTATTAGAAACTGTGATTGTTATCGGGGTGTAGTTTTGTTCATGACCAAGAAATGAAGATTTTAGATGACGAGAGAAGAATGTTTACAGATTATTATTATTTTGGAATGTGAAGGGAGCGCAATTAAAATGAGTAATTTTTATGGGTTCGCTACAGTTTTGATTTGTTGATGAGAGAAGAATGTTTGTTCCTGATTGTCAATAGTCATAGGCTCATAGCCAATTAGAAATTGAAGTTGCAAATCATATAGTCCTTTTCATTTCTTGCTTTGGTGTTAGCTTTTGCTTCATTTTCATATTTAGATTCTTAACTTCTCTTTACCTTTGATTATTTTATATTCAATGCAGGCAGCTTATAAATTCAAGATATGGGAATCATTTACCACAGATATACCCACTCAGGTATTGAATACTTTGATCAAACTGTTTGGTAAGGTTCAGTGATTAAGATGAGTGGTTACAGTGTGGCTAATGTTCGGTATTAACTGGAATTGGTTCTCACAAAAATATTTTATCATTGTCTACATTGACTATGCCTGTATTGAAGACTTTATGTGGTGGAGCTTCTAAATGCTTTTGTAGCTGAATCCAAAAAACATAAAGTTATTGTGCCTTAAATTTTGATATTACTAAATAAACTTTAAGAAATTTATAAGGAAACAGGGATTTTCTAAAGCTGAGGGTAATTTCAGTTTACTTCAGTTTACAATATAGCTCAAAATATTTTCGTTAGATCATCAACTATTAAGCCTTACCCAGCATCACCAATCAGCATCACCAATTCTCTATGTGGGGATTTCTAGTTGTGCTACATCCCTTATTATTACTTAATCTTTTATGGTTTGGCAGTTATACAACATTGGGTTTGCTGTCTATATATAGTATGTTTATGTCCTGCAATAAGTCTGTTACAAAGTATAAGGTTTCCAAACATCAAATTGAAACTTAAGTTGAACTATGAGAATTATTTTTTTCAACGAGTATTTGCTTATTTTCCTGTGGTTGACCCTCATCCATAGATGTGGGATGTACTGACAATCTTTTGCTCCATCATGCAGGGCATATATAAAGAGCACTTAATTGTCAAACTGGATTGTGTTAATTGTGCTCCTTATTTTGATGCAGGCAAAAGGTGGACTGTTCTCAAAAGGAAAAGCTCCATTCATCACTTTTGTCTTAGGTAATAATTGTATATCATTAGTGATTAATTAAAGGATCCCATATTAATTTTTTGTATGCTGTCATGAAAAAGTACTTTGATGTTCTTAAGGTACCAAATTCATGGTTTAAAGTTCTCATTCCTTAAATCTCAACTAAAGCATATTGGGATATCTAGAAGAAGGTATGGATTTAGATAACTTGTTCCCTGATTTTTGTTAAGGTGGGTCTTCACATCTTTCACATCTTGATAAATCAATTTTCAAGACTGATCAGATTGAAAGAACGTTGATCAGTTTTGGTTACTTAAAAAAATGTTAAAAGTAGGCATGTCCATGTGAAGATTTCCATAGATATTACTTCCAAAACTTTTTGATGCTTCAATATAAAATTTATGATGCGTATATGTGATAGAAACTTTTCTTCCCAAGCTCTCAGGTGGCCCTGGTAGTGGAAAAGGTACTCAATGTGCTAAGATTGTTAACAATTTTGGATTCAAGCATCTAAGTGCAGGAGAATTATTGAGGAGAGAAATAGCTTCTAACAGTGAATATGGGTAATGATTCTCATTCCCATTATTGAGAATTGTTCAATTATAGATACCTTCAAAGTTATGAATCCTCTGAAAATGGAACTGCAATTTCAGTGCCATGATTCTTAACACAATTAAGGAAGGAAAGATTGTCCCATCAGAAGTAACTGTCAAATTGATCCAAAAGGAGATGGAATCAAGTGATAGCCGTAGATTCCTCATTGATGGTTTTCCACGAACTGAGGAGAATCGCATTGCTTTTGAGAAAATTGTGAGTTCCTCTCTCTGTTTCCTCTTTTATGAAATGGGCTGAAGAAAGTTATGTTTTATTGTTTCTTGTATTGGCTTTATTTGGCTATACATATGATGGACATGATTAAGGTTAATAAAGTTTGTTACATTTGTTGAGTACAATGAGCCTGTTAGTGAAGTCATGAGATTCTTCCTACACGTGGCCTCGAGAGAAAGAAAAGGGGGTGGGGTGGTTGGGGTTGAGGAGATATAAGAGTAAATTGGTCCTGATAGGGAGATCTTACGCAGTAATAATCCTGAAAACAAGTTCAAGTAAACCAGTAAAAAGAACCCATATTTATCATTTGTTTAAGGACACTTGCATGAGATGACCAATATTGTTTCTGATGCAGACTGGAGCAGAACCAGATCTTGTTATTTTCTTTGATTGTCCTCAAGAAGAGATGGTGAAAAGAGTTCTGAACCGTAACGAGGTGCTTATCTCTTATACTTTTCCATGTATAGATATTCTGTTGATACCACTCTTTAAGATAACATATTGTTTAATTGCAGGGTCGAGTTGATGATAACATAGTTACAATCAAGAAACGTCTCATAGTGTTCGAAGCATTAAATCTTCCTGTTATCAATTACTATTCAAAGAGGGGAAAACTTTATACGGTAATATTTAGTAATTAGTGAATAGGGGGTCAGAATTTTATTAGCTTATTAGTTATAGTAAAGTTTAACCTGTCAGCTTTTTCATTCCTATTTATGAATTTAATTGGACTGTCAGAACAGACATAGTGTTCAAGGATGTGGATTGGGTTTTCTTATTTGCATTTATTCCCTCTCTTAACCTGTGTCCTCTCTGTCTCACAGTCCACCTGAGTTCATAGAGATCTTTTTCTAAAATAGCTTCAAAATTTGAAAATTATACCTCAGTTGTAGTGACAGAAGGTTTTGCATGCAGATCAATGCTGTAGGTACAGTCGATGAAATATTTGAACAGGTTCGCCCAGTTTTTGCTGGTAAGGTATGTCTCGTGGCATTCAGTGTTTACCTTTTACTTATTGTTTTACTAAGAATATGGCTTCATTTGTCAACCAAACGAACTACTTCTTCCATTGGCTGTGAAAATTTTTATATTTGTAGTTGATGTTGTGATCATACCAGAACACTCAAGGACGGACCTAGGAATTAACTTTAGGGAGTACAAATTCAAAATAATACAACATAAAATAGAAGAAATTAGATAAGTGTGGTCAAATCTATAAACATTAATACATATATAACTTGGTCAAAGCAAAAAATTTAAACCAAATTAATATGAAAAAAATCTTGATTGGGTCACCAGCCCCTACTCATGAATATGTGAGTCCATCCATGAGAACAATTTGTGTCATACCTATTCATTCATCTCAATGCTTGTGATCCCCTTTTGTCTATACCACATCTGGTCTTTGAATGATTTGTTCGCATCACATGTTTAGTAAAAACCATATTTAAAAGCCTCTGAGTCTAGCTGATTCTATTCTGCAGCAGTTGATCGGATGAATTGTAATCATACTGAGTCAAGAGTAACATAAAGCATGGAAAATTCAGGTATTTCTTGCGAGTTAGCGGTGCCCATTTCCCCAACATCATATGATTAATTGCACAACTACTATCTTAAGGAGTGGATATTCTCAGCAAGGATTCTGGGAACTTGTAGATACAAACATCTATCAGACTAGAGGGCAGCAATTTCTTTTAACTCTGTTTACTGCCCTTTCCTTCATGAGGATACATGTACTTAGCATATTCTGCCGGGACTCTCATGCCCTGTTGTAGTTAAGCCCCATCTATGATATATCACAGGCCAAAAAATTCTGAGTGGTTTGAGTGGTATCATTCAACTGATGACCATGAATATTCAATTATCATATCACATATGATGCAATTTCTTTTTCTTTCTCATTTCTTTTGTAAGACAAGGAAGATAAGACATCGAGGATGACAAAAGTTACCGGCGATCTTTTATCTAATTAAATTTAAAGGATCTAATAAATAAGTTTAAATTATTTATTTTTAATATCAAATGGACTGTATTAAGAGCCTGATTGGGTTGACTTATTTACTGGCCGAAAAAACTTATTTAAAGTCATTTGGTTCACTGTTATTACCCTATCTTATTTCTCTATTTTATTCTAAAAACTTAAAAATATATTTGTTCCAATATTTTCAAAATCCAATTTTATTTTACTCAACTCACAAAATATTAATAATTACCTTTCTCGTAAAAATTCTAACTTTACTTTTTCTAAAATACTATTCTAAAAAGTATCAGAATAATGAACTAAACGGAACCATATATACTTTTGAAACATTTTTTTAGGTTGATTGGTTGCGTTATAAAAGTACTTACAGAATTTTAAATAAGTTATTTTATAGCTTACGGGATAAGCTCAAATTTTGAGTTTTTTCCGCAGTGATGAGAATCCAAGCCTATTGTGTTCTTTAAACATACACGAGTGTTTATTGAAGATTCAAGAACCCCAAGTCTTACAAGGAGGACAACATTCGGCTCAAGCACTCAAGGAAGCTTATAAACTTGTCCAAAAGATGTTAAGGGTCCAAGACATGGCACAAACCCTTTTTTGTAGCCCAAGCTATGGAGATCAAATGGAAAGAAGCTTAATTGGTCTAAGTTCAATTTGTGGATGCTACTTGATTCAATTGGTGAAGGAAAATCAAGAAAATTGTAATTAGAGACATAACATTAAATGGGTATGGTTTGCACTTTTGTAATTGCATGGTAGAGAATTATCCCTTAATATTTTGTGTAAGATTTTATTGTAATATTTATATAATACTTGTTAGGGTAATTCTCATGTTTTGTAAAGCCTATATAAAGACCATTCTTTCATAATAGGAAAGAGACAATGAATATTACATGAATAGTGTTTGTCTTGGAGAATTGTTTTTTTTTTAATTCCTTTATCCAAGTTCGGCCAATCTTGATGGTGGATTGATCTTTCAAGCTGGTGGAGTTCCTTTAGGCTTGAATGATCATTGATCATCTTTCTTGTAAGTTATTTTTCCCTTTGGTTACCATTCATCTCAATTCCGAGTTTGACTTGCCGTGTTTGTGATCCCATTTGTGTTGTGTTTGCAAGTAGAATGAGTTTGTATTGATTGAAAATAGATAAAAAGTGTTGCTCTAAGTTGTCAAAAGGGTTGTGTGTGCTTGTGGAGTGTTGGCCAGGTTTGTTTTAGGGTGTTACAAGTAAGTCCTAGTTTAGATTGAGTTAGAATTGGTTGAAGTAAGGTGATATATGAATTGTGGTTGCATGAATTCATATCACGTAACCTCTTTTTGAATTTACTTATTGTGTTGAAATTTCAAATCTATTTTCATTCAATTTTACAAATTTGATTTGATCTATTCTCGTATATTAAACCCTTTTTAATAAATTAATATTGATTTTTTTTTTAACATTTTCTTAATCAAACAATTATTAAAATTTTCAAAAAAGATCAAAAGTTATATTAATGGCCATTTCCGGCCAGAGATCTGGCCAGAAATGGCCAGATCGATGGCCTTTAATGTCTAGATTAGATCTGGCCGGAAATGGCCATATCGGTGCATGACGGTCATTTTCGGCCTTCTGTGCGTCGTTCTGATGGTGGCGACGGTTGGCCGCGGCTGTGGTTGTCAGCAGCGACATGTTGGTGGGGGTGATGACTTGAGTGGGTTGCAATTTGTTTTGAATTCAAGGGTAATTTTGTCCAAAAAGTTAATTAATTAGGGTGAAATAGTAAAAGCTATATTCATGTAAATAAATTTAAAAATAAGAGCATTATTATCCTAAAATTTTATTAATAAGGGATAAAATTGTAACAAAAAAAGATAAACCTAGTAATCTTAGAATACCTAAGAAAATAGAGGTAATCAGATTACCTCCAATATCACTAATAATAATTATTATTGGTATTTGAAGATTACTGATATCTTATATTACTTGACAACCAAACATAGTAATAAAATAATATAGGATGACTTAACCCAAGTAATCCCACGTAACCTCAAACCAAACGCCCACAAATAGTTATCTTACTATATATTAAACTGTTTAAAAGTTTTTATGAATAAAAAAAGAAAATGTAAGGTTCAATATAATATTACAAAACCCAATAAGATGAGTTCCCTCCATATGGTCATCTCCAAAACCTAAACCAAAAACAATGAGTGTTCTACAACCACCAAGCTTCAGCTCTTCCCTAACACTCCACTGTGCTTCCAGAAGAAAGAAAAACAGAATACGAGAACAACAAAAACAGAAGCAAATTTTAAAAAACAAGAAAAACATCTTGTCCTCTTACCCAAAATCATCCCCAACTCCACTGCTAATCACCCACAAACCATTACCCCAAAATAAACTTCAAGCCTTAGACACCCTCATTAAAGACCTCGAAACCTCTATTCAGAAAGGCATTACCATAGACACTGAAACCTTCTCTTCGCTACTCGAAGTATGTTACCAATTAAAATCCATTAATCACGGAATTAAGCTTCATAGTCTCATACCCACATACATTTTACGCAAAAACGTCGGCGTTTCAGCAAAACTGTTGAGGTTATACGCGTCGTGCGGCGATATAGATAACGCTCACCAACTGTTCGATCAAATGCCAAAGAGAAATTCATTTGCGTTTCCTTGGAATTCGCTTATATCGGGATATGCCGAATTGGGTCAATATGAAGATGCCATAGCGCTTTACTTTCAAATGGAGGAAGAGGGTATTGAACCAGACCGGTTTACGTACCCTCGTGCTTTGAAAGCTTGCGCTGGACTCGGGTCAATTCAGGTCGGTGAGGCGGTGCACCGTGGCGCGGTACGTTTTGGATTTGGTTATGATGGATTTGTGCTTAATGCGCTTGTTGACATGTATGCAAAATGTGGTGACATCGTTAAGGCTAGAAGAATTTTTGACAAGAATGATGACAAGGACTTGATTTCTTGGAATTCAATGTTGATTGGTTATATTCGTCACGGGCTTTTAATTGAGGCATTGGATATATTCGGTGGGATGGTTCAAAATGGATTTGAACCCGATTCAGTGGCTATATCAGCCATTCTTGCTAATGTGTCATTAAAGATTGGTGTTCAAATTCATGGGTGGATTCTTAGGCGTGGAGTTGAATGGAATTTGTCTATTGCTAACTCTTTGATTGTTTTATATTCTAATAGCGGAAAGTTGGATCGAGCAAGTTGGTTATTTGGTCACATGCCTGAAAAAGATGTTGTGTCATGGAATTCTATAATTTCTGCTCATCGTAAGAACCCTAAAGTGTTAATGTATTTTGAGGAGATGGAGAAGGATGGTGTCTTGCCAGATAATATCACATTTGTGTCGTTACTATCGGCTTGTGCTCATTTAGGTATGGTGAAGGATGGAGAGAGATTGTTTTCTATTATGAGAGAGACGTATGGAATTAGCCCAAGATCACAACACTATGCATGTATGGTGAATCTGTATGCACGGGCAGGAATGATTGACGAGGCTTATGCAATGATAGTTGAGAAAATGGAGGTTGAGGCTGGTCCAACTGTGTGGGGAGCATTATTATACTCTTGCTATCTTCATGGGAATGTAGAGATTGGGGGGATTGCTGCTCAAAAGCTTTTTGATTTGGAGCCTGATAATGAACATAATTTCGAACTTTTAATGAGGATTTATCGCAATGCAGGTAGGTTGGAGGATGTAGCGGAAGTGGAAACAATGCTATTGGACAGAGGATTGATATAGTAGACTGCCATGTAGAGTCATGTTTTGATATTGAGAAGCGAGAAACGAAACTGGCCCTAAAATCTCTGGCTTATCGAAGAGGAAGTATGAGTTGTGTTAGAAGGGGTAAACTTAAATATTGCTGGTTATTGATATCCATGGGACAGATGAAACACCACTATACTTTTTATCTTCCTCCATCGATCATTTAGTGGATTCTGGGGAAGTTGTGAGTTGCTCAAGGCCCCACCACTCACCAGGTTGTCTGCTGTTCACAGGAGTACCATTGTACAAGAACTTAGAAAGCCTTGGAAATGTCAAAATATTAACTACGGAAAACTCAGTGAATGCATATGGACTTGAAGTAGAAGAAAAAATAATAATGGGAGCAAATTATTGTGTAAATGTGTAATGTAAAGATTAAAGCGAAAAGGATATGTAGCATATGTACTTTTTTTTTTGGTTAGCCACGGGCATTCGGATCAGTTTACGTATACCTTAACTAATCTTTTAGGGCCCTGAAGTTAACAGTCGGGTAAATTTCGGGCGTAGCCATCCCTACTAGTGCTTGGGGGACTCGAATTCAAGAATCCACATTCGACCTCTTTGCTCTTTTATCATCAAGTCATCTAGTGGTGGTTACATATGTACTTTAATGATTGTGTATAGAGGTGGAACAAATGGGCTGAGTAAGGCGAGTCAACCCTAACCCGGCCCGCATTAAAATGGGTTCAATCTGGACCCCTAAAAGGCAGGTCGGGTCGGTTTTAATATGTCAACTCGGCGAGTTAACTTTTTTATTTTTTAAAAAAAAACCCTCCAACCCGCTAGGTTGGGAGTTTTCAACCCGGTAGGTTGGTTGGCTGTTGCAAGCTAACGGTCACTCCGTTGAGTTGGACGAAAAAAATTATTAATATATATATATATATATATATATATATTATATTATATTTTTTTTTTTTTTTTTTTTTACAAATACCATTTTTACCCTTGAAATATGGCCGTTTATAGCAGTTGGAAGGGTCTTTTTCGTCATTTTCCTTTCCCTTTTTTTTTTTTTCTATAAATAGGGTCTAAACTCTCGTATTTTCTTATATCCCAAATTCTCTCATTTTCTCTAATCTCTATTAAATCTTTCAATTATTCTCTTTGTTGTCAATTTGTTCTCATTTTAATTTTTATCAGTTTTTGCAATTTTCAATTCATATTTCCAAATTCTAATTCTCTTTCTTTAATTTTTTATTTCTTCTATATCAATTTTTTTTTTAACTACAATGGATAGATATTTTCATCCAATCGATTCCGATGATGAAGGAAATTATCCTAGTCCCCCTAAATTTACTAACATAAATGCAATAGAATCAAATAGTCTCGCTTTCTTAGTCTCATAATCTGATACACCTCATAATATTCCCCCGATTCCTCCTTATGCTGCTACAACTCCTGGTGGTTCTAGAAGTCGTCCTCGTCCAACTTCGTCTCAAGCAGAAGTGGGTTCATCAACTCTGTCGAAATTGACGACAGGCACACATCATACGTTCAAGTGCATTTCGATAAGTTTTACAAGATAAAAAATGGAGTTCAAGTGAAGAAAGCAAGATGCAAGTATTGTGGAAATATTTATAAAGCTGATTTAAGTATTGTTACTAGTACTTTAAAAAGACATGCTAATAAACATATTACTCAACATGAAAATAGAGAAACCAACCAAACTCAAATAACTAATATGAGTACTACTTGGCGTTATAATTCTGATGTATATAGGGAACAATTAGCTTTGTATATTGCTGCAACTGATCAACCTATTAATATGGTTGAAGATAAATATTTTGAAAGATTTATTAAAAATTTATTTTTTTAAGGATTTAAAAGTTATTCTAAAATTGCAATTAAAAATGATTTAATAAAATTGTTTGGGAAAATGAAATTAGAATAAAAAAATAAAATACATAGTTATCATGTTAGTATGGTTCTAACTGCCAATATTTAGAGTGGTAGAGTTAAATAGGATTATATTTGTGTGACTAGTCATTATTTTGATAACGAATGTAAATTAAATAAATCTTTATTGGGATTTAGATTAATGGATGTGGATCATAGTAGTCAACAAATTTATAATAAAATTATTGAAATTTTAGAAGATTATGATGTTGTTAATAAAATGATAAGTTTAACTTTAGATAATGCAAGTGCTAATAGTGCAGCTATCGATTTTTTTTTAAATTAATTTTTCTTTTTATGACAATTTGAAGTTTTTTCACTAATACTGTGCATGTCACTTCATTAATTTAATTGCGAAAAGTGATATGAAAAAAATTAAAAATAATATTGATAGAATTATGGATTCTTTAGCTTGGATTACTAGTAGTAATAAAAGAAATGTTGAATTTCAAGATGTTTGTATAAAATCAAATATGTCTCCTAAAACTTTTGCATTAGACATGCCCGTTATATGGAATAGTACTTATTTAATGTTTGATTCATGTTTACCTTATGCAAATTTAATTAGCTATTTTGTAGCAAACAATAGAGGTCCTCATTATTTGGTAGAAAATGATTGATATATAGCTAAAAAATTTTATTCTTTTCTTAAATTTTTTTACTAATCCACTTTCCATCTTTCTAGTGTGTATTATCCTACTACTCCATTGGTAATACATACAATTATAAAAATTTCAAATTTATTTAGAAAGAACAGAAACAATTAAATTTTAGCGGAACCAATACAGGCAATAAAATTAAAATTTAAAAAATATTGGAAACTCATTCATTTTCTGTATTGTTTAGGTGCTATATTTGATCCTAGAATTAAAGTAGCAGGTTTAGAAAATGGTTTAAACATATTAACTGAAAATTTACAAAATGAAGCATATGCCAATCAACTAGGAGAGGTAAGAGAGTGTCTAGCATAGGTATATTTACAATATGAGAACATGTATGAGAACTAGCAAAGAAGTGAAATACCCGGGGAAGTTGCATCAGAAGAAACAAATGAAGACTTTGACTCCTGGAGTGCACTTAATAGGCCGAAGAGGATCCGAATCTGAAGCACAGCCCCCTCTTTAGAAGCACCAATAACAAATGTACTGTCCTCTATGCAGTTACAAAGTAATAAGCTTCACCAATATTTGGGAACGCCCGAAGTGTTACCAGCAGATCCACAACAAAGAGCCAACTTTGATGTCTTAGAATATTGGAAAACCAGAAAATGTATTTTTCCGGTATTATCAAGACTTGTCTTGGATGTTTTCTCTGTTTTTGTCTCAACTGTCTCATCCGAACAAACCTTTAGTGCAAGTGGAAGAATTTTAAATGAAAGGAGGACTAAACTTTCACAAAAAATGATTGAAGTCCCCGCATGTCTTTGAGATTGGGAACAGTTGCGCCATCAAGATCAATATAAGGTTGTCGACAAACTTTAATAGAATCATTTCAATTTTATAATATAGATGATACGGATGTGGGAGATCTTAGCCAACCCCCAAATTAGTTGTTTTGTAAATTGTAACTTGTAAATTAATTATCAATTATTACACTCTTTTTTCCTTACCAAGTTTTTGTCCTATTGGGTTTTTCTTAGTAAGCTTTTTAACGAGGCAATAATTGTTTTAATTTCTTATTTTATTTTTTGATAAATAAATAAATCTAATTTTTCTTATATTACAATTTCATTGTATTAAAATTGAATTAATATTTGAAATGTTAAAAAAAAATTAATTTAATTGAATTATTGATATTTGAAAAGTTAACTAAAAAGTAAAAACAATTACACAAAAGAAAAAAATAAAAAAATTATGGGCTAACCCGGTGCGACCGTATCAAAACCCGTCAGGTTAGGATTGGCAGGCCGAGCTGGATCAGCCTTTTTGGCCAAGAGAGGGGCTAGGCCCGGCCCACCAATTCCTATAACCCGCCATGGGCTAGGCTGGGTCGGGTTGAACGGGTTATTTTTCCACGATTTTGTTTACACTTCTAGCAGATAATTCTTTTGTGAAATACACATCTAATTGCCTCACCAACTGATAAAAGAGAAGAAAAGAAAGAAAAAAGTGGCATGTGCATTCTGCGAATATTTATTGAAATGACACGAACATCAAAAGCCTCCAAAGCTACAGAGTAAAGGTTTTCTGATGCTTTATCAAAAGACGTACGTGACTGAGACCAATTTTCAGGTTTCATACTTATCTTAAAATCTTTAATTTAAGTGGACACAATCTTTTCTCATACTTCTCTTCTCTTGTCTTGTCTATAATCTTATATCATATATTCATTTATTAAGATCGTGATTACATAACTAAAGATTCTGATCATAATCAGAAAATATATAAAATTCATTTCCATTGTTACAGTAAGCAGCGCCGGTGATCACGGGAATGTCTTGACCGTTGATGCTGCGGGCTTTCAAAGTCAATAACAATAGTATTGCAAGTAAGACAAATATGTAAAAATTTCAGCCATAATCTCCGATTATGCTCATGTTTAGTGGTAGCCTACCACTTATTTTCAAATTTCAACCTTAAAAACTTTATTTCTTCTTCCAAAAGTCAACAACCGGAATCAATGAGGTGTTTCCAAGTCCAAAATTAGTTATCCGTAGACCATTTCCAACCATAAACAATAAATCAGCGTAACTTTCACATCAAATCGGTGTAATTTTCATACTATTTTCACACGGCATCTCCAATCTATTGCACATAATATTATCTTTCTTTTTATTTCTACTAATTTAAACATAATTTAATTTACTAATTATTTTTATATATACTACTAATAATAACTTTAAAGTTGTGTATTATTTTTAAGTTATTAAAGTTTAATATTTATAACTTTATTAATTATTTTTGTATCTATTAATTAAATATTGAAAATAATAACTTTATTAATTAATAATTAATTAACTACTAATAATAACTTTAAATTAGTGTTAATTTATTTGAAAGTGTTAAAGTTTAATATTTGTATTATAATGTTTTTATTATTTTTTAAATTATATAATTATTATAAAAATAAATTTATAAATAATAATTAAATTAATATAAATATAAATTAAAAAAATAAATAACAAAAATAAAGAAATAAAAAATTTCATGTCGTACTAATTTAATGTGGCTTTTAGTGTTTGGTTGCAATAAAATTTGGACACTATTTTAGCGTTTCTAATGGAAATGCCCTTTATGTCGGTAGCGGGTAGCCTAAGGCCCTAGAAAAAGGAAATTCACACTATCATGCGCTCATTTTAATCATAATATATAGATATCACATCTGTCCAGTGTCCCATACTCCGACATAAAATTTAATGTTTGTGATAAGTTTAAAATAAAGTAATAGAAAATATCTATGAATAAAAATAATATTTACCTTTACTCTTTTATTGAATTCAGTTGATAAAAAATAGATAATGATAAACTCATAACCCAATTTTATAAATTATTCTTCATAATCTCGATAAAATAGTTTATAATTAATTAATTCGTAATTAAGTAGGTAAGACTTATAATAAGTAGATAAGATATATTTATAAATTGATCAATTATAAATTATCACATCAAAATTATAAAAAAAAAGTTTATGGCTTCGTTTGTTTCGCTTTTGGGAATACTATTATTAGTATTTCCAAAAAAGTTAAACAATAAAATATTATTATACCAAAATATTATTCTATATTTTTTAATTTTTTTTAAATTTCTAAATTTATTAATTTAACTAAACACTCCCAAATAGTTTTTTAGAAATTACAAAAATACTCTGGCCACCCTCTGGCGGTGCTGGCCGACTGTCCGTATTTAATGGGTGGATTAAGAGTGTTTTTGTTAACTTTTAATATTTTATTATAGAGATATTTAATAAATAAATAAAAATAAGAGATATTTTTATTAATTTCTTAATTTTATATTGTAATACACTTCCAATTAAACTTTTTTTTCAAAAGGTTATTCTAAAATTTACATTATAAATATAGTATTATCGTGATTAAATATATTATCAAAGTATTAACTTTATTTATTTAATATAATTATTTATTTTTTAATATTAAAGTGGCCCACGAAAAAGCACAAATTGCTCAAACCTCTATAAATACAAACACTTGCACTCTTCATTCCTCACAATCCCATTGCAGTTTTCATCACTCCAAGAAACAAGAGAGTCTTTTGGCATCTAAAATCATGGCAAGAGCCGCTTCTCTTCTTCTACTCCTCTCCCTATTATACTTCACCACCACGGCCATCCCCACTAAGAGCTCTAGTGACACAACCTTCATTAAAACCTCCTGCAAATCCACTACTTACCCCGCTCTCTGCGTCCAGTCTCTCTCAACTTACGCCACTTCAATTCAACAGAGCCCGCGCCAGCTGGCTCTCGCGGCCTTGTCCGTGAGCCTGTCGAGGGCACATTCCACTAAATCATTCGTCACAAAGTTGAAGAAGTTCAAGAACTTGAAGCACAGGGAGATTGGAGCTATTGCAGACTGCGTGGAAGAGATGAGCGACACCGTGGACCGGCTGAGCAAGTCGGTTCAGGAGCTGAAGCACATGGGTCAAGCCAAAGGTCAGGACTTTTTGATGCACATGAGCAATGTGGAAACCTGGGTCAGTGCAGCTCTCACTGATGAGAACACTTGCGTTGATGGTTTTGCCGGCAAGGCCTTGAATGGGAAGATCAAGGATTCGATTAAAGGTCAAGTTGTTAATGTTGCTCAAGTTACTAGCAACGCACTGGCCTTGATTAACAAGTTTGCTGCAACATAATGATCCAGCAGGCAGCCATGGATGTGTGGGTGAAAAAGCTCTTAAGATTTTGCCAAGTTTTTGATCTGTCGTTTAAATTTGATGTATAAATTAAGCTTGTTTTTATGTGTTTTTAACAGTTATGTATGTATCATATATTGAGTGTTTTGAGTGGGAAATGAACAAGATGAAGTGTTTTGAACTTTGAAGTACTGCTTTTGTCTTGTGGCTCAAAATAAATCCCTTGATTGAAGGCATAAGGTCCTCAAAAAACACAATTAAATGACCGAATCGAATCAATATGATGAAATTACGAGATATGGTCCCATCTCAATCATAATTAGCGGGCCTAACTTGTATTAGGTAATTAAAAAGAAACACGGAAGAATCATTTCATTTGATAAATGATACTAAAATACTGAATATATCTGAAGATGAGCACAATTGGCTTTTACGGAAAGGGCGGTGTATAAATAAATAAATAAATGTATCGGCAATCGGGAATCGGAACGGGATTGAGACCGAGCAGAAAAAGAGGACTTTGCGTGGGGACTCTGTGTCGACTGCGATCACGTGACTGGGCTTTTTGTCTCCATTTTTTCTCCTATAACTCTATATTATATATATATATATATAGGTATAATGCATTGAAATGACTGGGGATAGGGCGAAAGGGATCGCCTGCACATGGATGATGGGATTGTAACCTAATCAAACAAACTTTTAGTTACAACTGCGCACTATTTTATTTCAATTATTTATTGATATATTACCAAGTGGGCGCATGGGAGATGACTACACGCTGCCAATACCATACCATTCAGTGCACCAGTGTATTTGTATATGTATGATATTTTCGAACAAATATCCGAATTTGACTTTCTACAATGTTAATATAGATGATTATTGAAGAGTTTATTTGATCGTTAACTTCAAGATTTTAAAAATTAATTAGGTTACGTGTAAACTAGTTTAAACATCTCCCATGAAAACAAAAAAGAAAAAAGTTTGATGTATTTTTTTTTTCTTATTTTGTTTGATGCTGCTATTGCATACAACGTTTAATGCGTAATTTCTTGAAAGAAATTCCAATATTATTACATCAATTGCGTTGTTTAATTGTTTAATTTATTATTTACCAGCACTCTGACTCCACTTTTGTTCAGGCTTATCTTCACGGCGGCACGGCTCTTTTTTTTAATGTTCATTCTAGATTTTTTTTTTTTTTTTTTTTGGTTAAATCTAGAACGGTAACTATCAGTTTCTAGATTTTTGCATAGATATATCTTATATAAACTAACTGCATGCGTTTGACCCTACTGTATTAACAGGGCGTTAACTCATTCTCTTATTATTCCAACCATCAAAATATTATCATATAAATAAGTTACTAATATTAGCAGATAATCGAAAGTGCAAACATCAATAGCTATCAAAGAAATAATTGACAGAGTCAGGTAAACTAATTTTCTTCTGCTCTCTTCCATGATTTGATTTTTTTTTTTTGTTTTTGTCTCCCCGTATTTTAAGTTAATTAACTTGAACGTAACGTAACCCTAGTTAACAAAATTGACCTAATTAAAATCAATTTAAAAGAAAAAAAAACATATAATCATATCAATAATGTTTTATTTATAATTGAATCATACAACTAAACCAAAATTAAACAAAATTCATATAAAATGATTCCTCCATGTTTTGTTTTTTATCTAATTGTATGATTTGATTGTAGACATAACATTTCCGTAATCATATATATTTTTTTCTTGATTAAATTCATTAATACAGATTACAGTTGGCATGTAACATGGTTAAAAATCCTTGTTCACATGAAGTGACTGCGTCAACTATAGGCATGGACACCCATCACTCACTCATCATATATATAACCCTCCATACTGCCAAAAAATGATGTTGCCTTTTCTTCTTTGCTAGTTGCAATATCTTTAATGTACAAAATTTTATACATACATTAGAATGTTTCATAGAGTAGAAAACTTACATAAATGAGTCAATTATTTTGAAGAGAACACATGAACAACGGCGTGAGTGGAGAGAATTAAGAAGAATAGCTAACCTAAACGTCTATATCATAGATTAATGGAGAGAAACTGCTGACCTTATTCCCTCGTTGCATGTGATTTGACGCGATGTTTTATCCACACAAAATATGGAAAGTGGAAATAGACACTTCCCTTGTCTCATGCATCCATTTAATTCAATAAATTTTGGGAAGCCATTTGAAAATTGTATCGAATTTCTTCTTCTACCACCTCTCTATATAAATATTTATTTTATATTTTATTTTATATATATATATACAGGATCAGTGGCGGATCCAGGCACTTTTTGGGTGGGCTATGGTCCATCCTTAAATTTTTTTTTTTTTAATATTAATATGTATAATTTATATATTTTGGCCCACTCTAACAAAAATATTAATGGATAAAAATAGTAATGTATAATAAATTTTTATTTTGGTCTACCCTAAAAGAAATTCCTGGATCTACTACTGTACAGGATCATCAAGGAGGTTTATTCACGATTTCACGTGCTGCTTGCCATTGCCTCACATTCTTATCCGTTCTAATCGATATGCACTCTTTTCACGCAATGGAATTAATTGGTTTCTTCCAAATTTAATTCCACATTCGCCTTTGCAGCACATGAAAACTTAGAAATATTGGAATATTTATATTCCAACTGCAATAATAATAAAAATGTCCCCTTCTTAATATAAGAACAGATGTGATCTTCTTTATAATAAGTTTGGCCTTTCCGTTGGTTTTTCTGGGAATCCCTTGATTATAATACATGACAAAATTAATTTAAATAGATGACCCACCGTAAAGGGTAATTAAAAGCATCCTACCTGAAGTAGTGAAGTTAGCTGATTCAGTTACTCCAAGTGATTGCATATACTGGGAGCTAGAGAAACAAAAAAGAAAAATGTACTGAAATCATGCACACACTATAACAAAAGATTTTTGCGATTATTTCTAGTTACAACCAGATACATATTAAACAGAAGAGAACATATATTTAAACTTTGTAGCAAAAAGAATTAAAAGAAGAAAAACACACCAAGAACTATTAAGAGGGTTGAAATTCATTACTAACTCTTAAGATTATTGTTGATAAGAGCCAAAGAGTTGCTTGTTTGCTTAGCAAGATTCACAACGCTCTTCCTGATTTTGTTCTTCACAGATTTGCTAACCTTGTTGCCTTCATCAATTTCATCTGTGCACGTATTCTCATCCGTTAGCGCAGCGCTAACCCACGTTTGTATGTTAGCTATTTGTAAATGAAGACGTGACCCTGTTCCTAAATGCTCCATTTCATCCAACGAATCCTTTAGCTCATCGATGCTGTCGCTAATTTCATCGATGCAATCTTTAACAATTGCTTTCTCTGCAGAACTCAGTCCTCCTTGTTTTGCTATGCTCGACACCAAGGCAGAAGTGTTACGCGCGGTTTTTAGGGTTACCTTCAAGGAAGTTTTGCAGAGCTTTAAAGGATCTGTTTTGATTGTATTGTAGTAGGATTTGAGACTCTTGTAGCAGTCAGCTGGGTATGTTGTTGAATTGCAGGATGTCAGGATGTAGATTTTGTAGGTATTTGAACAAGTTTTATCGGTTGAAACTGCGGCTATTGCAGTTTGCAAATTCGAAATGAGGAAAAGGAAGGCGCAGTGAAATGAGATTTGGAATATTGCGCAAGTTTTTGCTTCCATCCCTCTTAGCTATATCAGAAATTAATCTTTCTAATATTGTTTTCTTTTGATGAGAGTGTGTAGAGAAGATGGGAATTTATAAGGATATGATTTTCAGATGGGAATTTATTTTTTTTGCATGTCTTTTCTATCACGCAACATTTTGAAATTGACTCTTGAAATATAATAATAGAAATTAATGAAATATTTTAGCATTGAAATTGAGATTGCGACAGTTTAGTATGATTTGTACATACTTAATTTCAGATCTTGCACGTTTTGACAGAAGTGGAAGCCGGCTGGCTAGCTTTAGAATAACATCTCATAGAGGTACAGCTGGCTATTTGTGCCATTTTTTTAATTTTTTAATTTTTGTTTTGTTTTGTGCAGTGTGAATGTGTCAACAAAAACACATTATATATTTTTGCAAGCTGTGTAAGCAACAGTACCCACCTGGGGTTCGTACTTCCAAATTTAATTATAATTTTCCATTGTCACGCCTCGACTATTGGAATTTGGAAATATATATGACTATATGAGCACTTACTTATATGCCTTCCCGAGCTCCATGGTAATTTGCTCTTTTCTTATCTTATCATTTGATGCCTCGAGTCAATCAGTGAATGAAAACACTTACGATTAGTTTTGATGGATTAATATAGGAGTCAAAACTAATTCAAGGTTACGATGGAGAGTGTCTTAGAAACAATAATACTATATTCACAAAGAAATCTTACAAAAATTTTCATACAAAGTAAGGTGACAAAAAATAAATGAAAGAGTGAAACAAAAAGTCAAACTTATTATAATCACTTTTCCATTCATTTTTTACCACATTACCCTTTAGATAATTTTTGTAGATTTCTTTGTAAGTGCAGCATTACTTGTTTGCCACATTACCTTATATGAGAATTTTTGTAAGATTTCTTTGTAAGTGCAGCATTACTTGTCTTAGAAATTAAGGTTTTTTCCCTTTAAGACTAGGTTGAGTGTAGTTAGAACTAGAATTATTTTTGCTTTGTTTTATGTACTAGGTTTATGATGTTGTGTACTTTTGTGTATTGTATTCATGAAACTATAATAATTTTTCTTATTCATATATATAAATAGATTATGTTGAATCACGTAAATACCATATCTCTTTAAATGATTTGATTTTAATATTACCTTATTTATCCTCGATATATATTTTCTGCTGTCCATCTCATAACAGTTTTATAGATCCGTCAATATGTATTAAAATCAGAATTAATTATTGTAAGACGTGTTGCCATGTTAAACATGAAACAACGTGTTTACTAAGTTTTAAATTTTTAATATATAAAACTCAAAGGCGGGAGACGGCGTGAGCTGGAAGACTCGATTACGATTAACCAACGGTCGATGGTAGGGCCTATTTTTAGAACATGGACAACCTATTACATCCGGACGCGTGTAATGTGAGCAGTACAAAAAGTCAAACATTTGCGTGGGTAGTCGTGAAGACTTTTGCACATTATCTTAACGAAAAATTGTCACATTAGCGTTGCCGCTGTCTACGGTGATCTTATCTCTGATCTTCATCTTCTCTTCCCCTTAATTTAAGCTAATTGTGATTTTTTTATTTTTTTATTTTTTTTTTTTGGGTAAGTAAGCTTTATGAACAAAAAGAATAAGGTTTGAACAAAAAGAATAAGGTTAGAAAGTAACGCGAACGGCTCATAGGAAAAAAAAAACAAAAACAACAAAGGGACACACACTCCTGTCTCAAGAGCATGCAAGCTCAAATAAAAGAAAAGGTACAAACGCTTGCATAGGAGCACACAGACTCGAAACAAAAACACAAAAAAGGCACAAACGCTCAAAAAGAGCATGTAGGCTCTACAAAAAAGAAAAGGAACAAGAAGTCAGGATCGCCGTCCTTTCTTCTCACTCTTCTTATCCTTGGGCGTCGACAGACTCGATGGACGAGAGGACTGGGACTGAAGCATGAGCCACTCCATGTCAGAGTGGAAGTCCACCTCGACGTCTTCGACAAGGATAGCAAGAACCATGACTAACAATCATTTGCGATTGTCAACAGAATACTCGTCACTCGATTGGTCCCTCGTTGCCCTTTTAAGAGCTTTGTGAGCTAAAAAATCACGAGTTTCGACAAACGGGTTGAAGAAGCAATTTTGTAGTATAAAATTAGTGTTTTCAGAAAAGAAAAGCTTGTTAATTGTTGATTTATAAAAGGAATAATTAAAGTATGTTTTCTTTGACCTATTTATTTTACTTAATATTCTAAAATAAGTGCATATACTTTTTGGAAGAGTTTAATAAAAAAGGGTTTTTGTGAGATGTTATCATTAGTTTCACATTTCACATACATACTATTAAATTGTACGGTCGGTGATGATATATATTTATATAATGGCTGAGAGCATGGTTTTTAAAAACCGAAATGTGTACTTGATACTGTTTTATTTACTTTCGTGTAAAAGAATAATCTTGCGTTGAAGAATTTTAAAAACACATGCTGGGATTACAAGCTGAACGTGGGATAAGAAGACTTATTTGTGATTATAAAAGACGAATCTTGAATTCAAATATATATATATATATATTGATGTGAAACTGATCGAGACGTGCACATTATATATATTATATAAAGATCAAAATCACTTGCTTCTTAATTCATGGAATTTGGTATAATTCTTTCAGCTAATGATGATGATGATCGAATTGATTTTCAAATCCATTACATGATCTTTTTGAAAATCTTTCACGCATTGGTCTCTCGATTGTCCTTGTACACATTCAATATAAACATTGACATAATATCTCAAGTTGCTCCTTCATGTTAATAGGAGATTTTATAGCAAACGGCATATTCTCACCCAAGGTTTAGCAAAATTCCAAGCTGATACCCCTGATTGCATTTATTCCAGATTTTTATCCTTAAAGTAACGTCATTTCCTTTATTTTAATAAATTCTCAACTTTTTACTATAGCATAGCCCACGTTAACATGCTAAAGTGCTCCAACGTTTTCTTTGGCCAAGAAGGGCTCATGTTATCAAGAAAGGGCTCATGTTAATAGCGTCCAAGTCAACGGTTTTTGGCTTTTTTCAGTTGATTCGAAAGTCTAAAATCACTCCCGAAACCACCATTGGACTTCCTACAACCTCCTCTACAAAACCCATAGCTTCATTTGTTGACTTCATTCATTGTTTTCAATTATCTTCAACAGTCACTAACGATGTTAATTTAAGGGGGAAAATTTGAAATAAATGCAATCAGGGGTATCAACTTAGGGTTTTGCTAAACCTCGATGGTAATATGTGATATTTTTATTAAAATCCATTCTTGGAATAGTGGGCATATGTTAATTAAGTTGATGATGAAACCGCCATAGATGATTAGGATACTTAATTTTCACTCAAAATATATCACTATTAATTAGGATTCGCTAGGAGCCAACTAGATGTAATTAATCTTGTTATATATTATATAGATATGAGTTGATAATAACTTGCATATGAAATATTTATGTCACAATCTAGGTTATATGTATGTACATGGTTAATTAATTAGCTAGATATATAGCGGATATCATCATCCATTTAAGTTAAGATCTTCTATAAATTTGAAAAAAACCAAGTTTTATTCTAGTTATCTAAGCATGTGTTAACTTAAACACTTAACAACTGATCATCATCCTTAGTAATTTCAAATTAAGAAGGATGTTTACAAAAAAGTTTTTCTTTCTTTTCCCATGCACACCATGCATTTCATTAATTTGCTTTCAAATGAGGAATTTCAAGAAATCATTAAACAATTAAATTAAAGAAGCATTGCGCTACATGCATTATATATATATATAATTCATATAGATATAGCTACTGGATCAAAACATACACATAAAATAATTTAACTAGTGAGTTAAGTACTAGTATTTGAGTTTATTAATGAAGGCTAAAGCATTGCTGGTTAACTGCGAAACCCTTACAAGTTCCAATACATCCTCTAACAGTGTCCTTAATTTTCCATGCACGTATCTTCATTTGTTAAAGCAGCACTCACCCAAGTTAATATATCACTCATTTTCCATTAAAATTCAGGGCCTTTTAGATCCTTTATTGCTGCCAAAGATTGTTGCAGGTCATCAACCGAGTCTTTTATCGTCTCCACACAATCCCTTATGGCACCGGCTTCTCTAGGCCTAAAGTCACGCCCTTTCGATAACTTTTGCACCAATGCAGAAGTAGACTGCACTTCTTTCAGGCTCACCGACAGGGCTGCATTCGCCAACTCTCTTGGATTTGTCTTTATGGTGGCTGCATAAGATGAGAGTGTCCTGTAACATATATCAGGATACACTGTTGACAGACATGAATTTTTAATAAATTGAATACTTGAATTTAATTTGGATTGTTTTAATCTTGCTGGAAGCATCATGTTGTAGTAGAAAAGAGTGACAAAATGAATATGGAGGCAAGGCCATGGCAAGAGTATAGATTTGAACATGTGAAAGATTCCATGACAGCGAAGTAGGATATATATTTGAATTAATGGATGGTGAGAGAAGGGTCCATATAATGTCACCTCTTATAGGGTAATATGACCTAATTTAAATGCAATTGTGGGGCACAGTTTCTTCAATTATTAGATGGGTAACAGAAGACTCCACTATTTTAGGGCAAAAGAGATAGGGTAAGGGTGAGCCATAAACACTGAAAATGGATGAAGATTATAAGATCAGAAATTGCGAGGAAATAAGCAATTAATTGTTTATCTAGGAAAGGAAGAGATGCAAATAATTATTATCTTGGTGGTCCTCGTCTAACATGCATGCACAGTAGACAAAAATGTTTGATAGAGGCATATCGAAATTCTCAATATCAAAAATGAAATAATTACTAGAAAAAACAAAAAATAATTTTTCTCATAACCAATCAATTCATAGTATGTCGTTTTTTGAATTATTGGAATGGAACAAAAGCAAGAGATAAGGACTGTGATAGACACAATTATTTAAAGGGGGAGGAAAATATTCCAATTTGGATTATGGCATCATAGAAGAAAAGAAAATATAGGGACGGTTTTATGAGAAGTTA